CCTCACGGCCTTCTGTTTTAGTTCATTCTCCTTCTGTGATGCCCGAATGTACAGATGGGTATGAGCAGCATTTTTCTCTACTGGTGTTGATGTACATATGTGCTGTGCACCGCGCAATGTTTGCGTCACTAAAGCTTTGCTATCTCCCAGAACCAGCGAGTTTACGATAGCAATTGTTCACGGAGCACTGTGGCCACACATAATTATACATGTACACTCACGGTTGAAGTTTGATTTCACGATGGGTAATATTCGCGTTCTGCTCTTCTCACAAGATAAGCAAACATTGATACGTCGCAAACCGGCATTAGGCAGTTTCCAGTACATCTCGATCGGTGTTTAAGCCCATACAAACATGCGAGCTCCTCCAATACTATCAACAGTCCTTTCGAATCAGATAAGAGCATGGGCTTATCTGCAGAATTCTACAGCATAGCTCTAGCTCCAGATGCATACACATCTCGTATAACGTGGTCAATACAGATTCTATTTAGTATGCAACGCCATTCTTTGCAATTTGAGCAAAAAATAAATAAAAAAGAAGAAGGAAAATGCATTGGCCGGGAATCGAACCCGGGCCCCCCGCGTGGCAGGCGAGGATTCTACCACTGAACCACCAATGCTTGGATGCATGTTGAGCTGGTGGCCAGACAATTGAATACAGCCCACGCGTTGGCGGGCTCACTTGCACTGGATCTTAAATTCTATACCTCCACATTGCAAGTATTGGTCTTCAATTCTTTGTCAGCGTGATGACTTCTCTTACCGGTATGTGTCGTCGCTGATGATGTTAGCCTACTACCCATCCCTGTTCTTCTTCCTCTTATTATTATTAGAGAGGTTTTGCATTCCGAATTTCAGAATGATTTTCGACTGTGCTTTTCCGAAAAAAGCGCTTTCCGAAAAAATTTCAGTGTTTTGCATTCCGAAAATCTGATTCGACTTCGTTTCCATGCAAAACAAAATGGAGAGCGTCGAAGGGGTTGAGCAGGATCAGGGAGTCGTAAAATACCTGGTATTTTACGACTCCCTGAGCAGGATCAAATCCATGTGCACAGGTCAAACTGAATTTGGGTGCGGTTCGAAGACGAGGACGGACTGATGGTGGACCAAGTGATCCAACAGCTGAAGACGAGGTTGGCGAACTACTCACGTAACTGTCTTGTACTGTCAGTAGGCTCAAAAGGAAGATAGAGTGTGATGGAGTGTGAGAAGATTAGTCAACATGGCAAGATCAGCGAGAGCAGCAAAAATCAAAACTACATACGTGGACAATTTTTCAAATAATCGAGAGCAGCAGAAAGCAAAAATACAAACATGAAAAATACACTTTTTTGTATTCAAATATGCACACCCAAACATGAAAGAGCCGAAAATCCATTTTCGGAAAACCATGCACTTTCGCCACCACACTTCCGAAAGTTCGACTACTTTTTCGACTGCTGCCGCCACATTCCGAAAATAATTCCGAAATTCGGAATGCAAAACCTCTCTATTATCAAGAGTACATAACCCCCAAGAGTGTGCAACTCCAGCTATGGGGTCTGCGACGGCAGAACTTCACATCACGTGATGAACCCGTACACATTATTTGCACTCCGTGCATGATAGATACAGGGTTGCACGCAGCCCAGCTTTGGGTACAACTCTCTTGTGGTCACTTTGCACTGTTTGCCAGCATAACCTTTTGAACCATGTCACGTCATGTGAAGTTCTGCCGTCGCAGCACACCATAGAGGTTGTGCAGGCAGTTGCACACTCTTGGGGGTTATGTACTCTTGCTATTATTATAGGCTTTTCCGCGTTGGCATCGCCAAGCAAGCTTGGCTAGCCTTCGCATAAGCTGCTCCATAATGATGAGACGAAACAATGAATGCATGTATATACGATCTAGGACAGAACCAAGGTTGAGGATATTTTTGAAGAAAGCTGCAAGTTGTGTTGAGGAACACAAAGTTGCAAACTCTATGAAAGTAAACTGCAAGAAATGTTTTGGGGTTGATCTCATGATTTTTGTAGTCACAGGTTGTGTTAGTAGTATTAAAGGTTGTGTTTTCACAGATATATTGTATCCCTGTTCTATTCAAGAAAAAATTCCCATTGGTCCCGTTATCGTCTTCTTTTCCTCTCCTTCTTTTTCTCAGTTTTCCCTCACTATGGCTGGTTATAACCCATCGCTGTCACAACGCATGTTTATTGGCATTACGTCATTGCGAGATATTGATAAAAAAATTGCAAAAAAAGCTCTTTTCACTTCGAGCAAAAAAAAAGAGAAGAAAAAATGCATTGGCCGGGAATCGAACCCGGGCCCCCCGCGTGGCAGGCGAGGATTCTACCACTGAACCACCAATGCTTGGATAAATGTTGAGCTGGTGGCCAGACAACTGAATACAGCCCACGCGTTGGCGGGCTTACTTGCACTGGATCTTAAATTCTATATTGTGTTTGCGGAAAATTGATGAAAAATATTGCGCAGACGCCACATTACAAAAAAAGTTGGAGCAAGAAGAAAAAATGCATTGGCCGGGACTTCTCTTATGTGTCATCGCTGATGATGCTACCCACCTACCCATCCCTGTTATATTCAAGAAAAATTTCCCATTGGTCTCGGCTTTTGTAGCAGCTAAAATGTCGTAAAGAAGTACGCTGCATTTAGTTTTGTTCTGCCTGTGTCTGCCTGGGTTGAGTTGACATTTCATCGCTAGCCAAATCTTCAAACTGCTGTCTCAAGATTGCTCTGTTAAATTCTGCTTATTCCCTCATTGAAAGGAAAAGGACATATGGAAACGAGTTAAGAGTAACTCTCCACCACTGTAACTAGATGCTATATACAGTCAGAAAGTGCAACAACTAGCCACAAAACTGACAGAGTACTGAGACATTCGACGTCCTGACACCTAGCTTCAACACATCTCCGTAGCGCTAACCGACAGCCTTCCAACTGGGAAGGTTCAAGGTTATGGAAAGACCAAAGAGGGGAAGGCAAGCGCAACGAAAACGAGCACAAGCTACAGTCCCAACGGAACAAAGAATGTCGATTGTCACTGTTACAGTGGTGGTGAGTTACTCTTAACTCGTTTCCATGTGTCCTTATCCTTTCAACCCTTTGGCTCAATACCCGAGTTTCATATTCCCTCATTCGTCTTCTTTTTCTCAGTTTTCCCCACTATGGCTGGTTACAACCCACCGCCATCACAACACATGTTTTTTGGCATTATGTCATTGTGATTTACGGAATCATGATAAAAAATTGAGGAGACGCCACATTGCAAAAAAAGCTCTTTTCAGTTGGAGCAAAAAAAGAAGAAGAAAATGCATTGGCCGGGAATCGAACCCGGGCCCCCCGCGTGGCAGGCGAGGATTCTACCACTGAACCACCAATGCTTGGATGCATATTGAGCTGCGGGCCAGACAACTGAATACAGCCCACGCGTTGGCGGGCTCACTTGCACTAGATCTTAAATTCTATAGACCTTATTCGATAACGTGATTTTCGGACTCGCCTCCAGGGATTTGTTGTAAGCTAGGGCACGCGTACGAGAAACGAGTGGCAAGAAAGGCCCAGTTCGTACAAGGGAGTAGCAAACTGCCGGTATTTTCTACTCTCATGTTCGCACGCAGAGTCCACTGTGCGCTGAGCGCAGGTCTCTTGCCACTCCCTGGTTCCCGGGACCCCGGTTCAGGTGATTGTGACGTTGATCGAATAAGGTATATACCTCCGGGTTACTAGCATTGGTCTTCAATTCTTTGTCAGCGTGATGACTTCTCTTATGTGTCATTGCTGATGTTGCTACCCTACTACCCATCCCTGTTATATTCAACACCTATTCTCATTGGTCTCGGCTCTTGTAGCAGCTAAACTGTCGTAAGAAGTACACTGCCAATTTTTGTTTTGTTCTGCCTATGTCTACCCGAGTTGAGTTGACATTTCATCGATAGCCAAATCTTCAAACTGCTGTCTCAAGGTTACTCTGTTGAATTCTCACTGCTCATTCCCTCATTCGTCTTCTTTTTCTCTCCTTTTTTCTCAGTTTTTCCTCACTTTGGCTGGTTATAATCCCCCGCCCTCACAACACATGTTTTTTGGCATTATGTCATTGCCATTGCTGAATAATGATAAAAAAAGATTGCGCAGACACCACACTGCAAAAAAAGCTCTTATCACTTCGAGCAAAAAAAGAAGAAAAAATGCATTGGCCGGGAATCGAACCCGGGCCCCCCGCGTGGCAGGCGAGGATTCTACCACTGAACCACCAATGCTTGCATACATGCTCAGCTGGTGGGCAGACAACTGAGCCTAATACAGGCAGTATGCAGTTGCCTTCAGCACAATGTGGAGGTTTTTTTACTATTGAAGTCCAAATTGACTGTCACCACCAGGACTCGAACCAGGGACCCTCGCTTGTAGCTAGCGATGCTCTAACCGCTGAGCTATGGTGTAGTCGTCATCCCAGCAGAGACAGAGACAGCAGAGAAGTCCACTACGCTTCCGACTAAACGTGGAAAGGGATGGCGGGGCCCTGCTGCTCAGCCGACCTTGGCGGTCTCGGCGTCTGCGCAGACAAAGCGCGCCAGGGAAAATCGGGAGGGGGGCTTGCCTGGCATCTTGTGCTCAGCATGCTCTGTTTCCTCTTCTTTCTTTACTACCAGGCCCGCCGGAACCGGTCCGGTGGGTCAGGTTATCACCGGACCAACTTTGTAGCTACCAACACCTGTTTATTGCTGAGGAGGGCATCATGTCCCCGCCATATCACACACAAACTGTATTTTTTTTTTATTATTATTTTTTTTACTATTGTCACAGCCCTACTGGAAAACAGGTGGAGAACAAAAAGAAGCGAGGAAAAGGACAAAACATAGGGGATGTAGGGACGACGTGCTGATGTGCTGGGAGCAACTCAACCGACCAGAGGTCTGAAAGACTATGGTAGGACTAGACCAATTGAAAGCTGTTTCCGGCGTTCCCGACTACGCATACAAGCAACAGTACATGTACTCACACTTGTCTCGTGTTGCGACAGCAGCGGGCAAACCGCGTCAACGACATCGTTGCGAACGGTCTCCGCCAGCAGGCTGTTGCGCGATGTTGCGTCGACGACCGTCACGTAGGAGAGGATATCCTCCGGTAGCGGCGTTGAGTGCGGGTTCCACGTCATGTACAAGCGGAACAGACGATGCCACGTTGCCTGGCGACCGCAGAACTGCGTGACGACACCTGACAGCACAAGAGAACACAAACACACTCAGTCACTCAGAAAAAAACAGCACGTCCCTCTAACAGATGCGTCCAGAGGGATTTTTCCAAGTTTAAAGCACACGATCTTACTGATGATGTGGGTTAACAGTAAACTGGGACAGAAGACTAGGACAAGCAGACAAAAGGGTAGGACATGCAAAAGCAAGGTGCAGGTGAGGCGAGTCCAGCTAGTCCGACCAGAGGTCTCGGAATTACTACAACAACATTGAGAGTGCATGCAGCTGATGGCAAGTCAGCGAAAATGGACTTTTTCCTATTTGAAGCCTAAACGGCACAATGGGGCCGGGGACTAACCTGATTTGCCGCTCGACTTAACAATGGCGGTCTGAGGGCGCACGAGTACTGCTCGGATGGACAGCAACAGCGCGGGCGTGACATTCAGTAGCAGTAGGGGAATTCCCTGCACCATGGCCGCCTGAACAGCGTCCAGGACTTCCGAGAGAGAACTGTACATGTAGAGGAAACCAGGAGTGAGCGTGTGTGTGTGTGTGTGTGTGTGTGTGTGTGTGTGTGTGTGTGTGCGTGTGTGTGTGTGTGTGTGTGTGTGAGCGTGTGTGTGTTCGTGTGTGTGTGTGTGTGTGTGTGTGTGTGTGTGTGTGTGTGTGTGTGCGTGTGTGTGTGTGTGTGTGTGTGTGTGTGTGAGCGTGTGTGTGTTTGTGTGTGTGTGTGTGTGTGTGTGTGTGTGTGTGTGTGTGTGTGTGTGTGTGTGTGTGTGTGTGCCGGAGTATGTGGTGTGATGTGTGTGCGGAAAAAATTAAAAAGACCAAAAGGTAGGGATTCACTGGCCAAAAAAGCCACTTCATAGCTGTGTGGTGTAGACCAGGCTGAATAGTGGCGGTCAATTCTTCAGCCTTGCAAGCTGTTGAATGGTGCAATCCCAGCACAAGCTGCTATGGCTTCTGCTGTAGCATCGCTATCATCGCCTCTGGCGATGGGCGTCCAATGGTCCAATGGTGTGTGTGTGTGTGTGTGAGTGTGTGGGTATGAGAGAGAGGAGAGAGAGAAGAGAGAGAAGAGAGAGAGAGTCTGTGAATAGCCAGTAGCGGGTACACGGCCCTGAACATATAACCTTTAAAATATTATTCCTTTTTTGAATTCTGCGACTCCTGTACAGCAGACAACCTTTTGCGACCATAGGAATACCCCCCCCCCCCCTCTCCACCCCTCTCCACCCCCAGACCTGCCATAAACACCACCAGTTCAATATGTGTATTGCATGCTACACCTATCAAGCAGATACCTTTGCTGCACGTCACGATCCACGGTAGCATGCCGCTCCATCCGCCTGACCAGCTGGGCACCGAGACCATCGGGATCCCGTAGCAGTGGCCACTTGTGGCACGCCGCCTCACGACCGCCCACCACCGCTGCATGCACTTGCCCGACGAGGAACATCTCCGCCGGCGAGAACCTCTGCTGATTCAGAGTCGCCATGGTAGCCCCGGCAACCTTGCCCGGCGACTGGATCATGGCCATCGCCATGGACAACGATGCCAAGATGGTGGTCAGGGGTAGGTTCTTGATCATGCGGGATGGCGGAGTGTCCAGTAGAGTAGAGTCGAAGTATTCCAACAGCTCCAATGTGTCCGCAGAGGCTTCTCCCGTTCCGGGTGCGAGTCGTTTGTCCAGTATCGTCATGTCGCGTGGGATGCCGATATCGACGTCGGACGGCGCTCGCGACAGCGGCAGGGGATGGTCGACCGCCTCGTCGAGATTGACCTTCGCCTCGTGCTTGAGGCTGGCGTTGCTTTGCCTGCGCATCGTGATGCTCATCTGACTGCTGTCGTTGACACTGCCGACGCCGAGTACGGGTTTGACGGGCAGCATCGACATCGTACCGGCTTTGACCATAGAGACGCCGCCGAAACTACCAACATCAACAGCAGCAGAAGCTTGCACCGTGGCCTGCAAATTGGTGATGGCGGTGGCGACAGGTTGTGCCGGTGTTCTCAGCGGCCTGTGAGTTGCCGGGGGCGATGCTTCGTCAATGGGAGACGGTGGCAAGGACACGTCACTCGCCTCGATAAGTTGCACCTGAGCTGCCACCGACAGAGGCGTCTCGCCCAAGTCCGGCGTGGGCGGATGCGGAGCCGACACGTCCGGAAGTTCCAGATCCACAGCCGCGTCTAGCATTGCCGCCAACTGAGCCTCAGCCTCTGGCGAGATATCTACGGGATGAGGGGGAAACGGAGCTTTTTCAGGGCCAGTTTGTTCCTCCGATTCCTCTCTCGTCCCGACAACTTCATCGGGTTGGGATGGATCGGGATCAGGCTCGGGCTCCTCCAGCAGGCATTCTTCCTCCTCGACGAGCGCCAAACTAGCGTCCGTCTCCTTGGCGTCAGTGGTGCTCTCGCGCTCTCTGCTGCGCTTCTCCTGCTGCGGGTCGGGCTCCAGGTGCTGGTGGGGGCGCTGCTGGGCGGCGCACTTCGAGATGATCAGCGCCAGATAGACGGGAACGCCGCAGGCGGTGTACGACCAGGTCACCGGGTAGCCACGACGACGCACGCACTCCGACCAATCGTGGCACAGCAGCAGGTGCGCGTCCCCCGTCGCCATGCCAGCCGTGAAGTAGCTGGTAGCGGCGGCTGTCAGGGCTAGAGGGCCGAACAGCTCCTCCAGCTGCCGGCCCATGCTGGGCAGCAACATGCACCAGGAGGTCATCTCGGACTGCGTGATCTGTGTGCGAAAATGTACACACATTCACAGGAAATACATAGACACACGCGCGCACGCACACACACACACACACACACACACACACACACACACACACACACACACACACACACACACAGAGGAAACTGAGTTTTATCTCTACGGGTTATTGCACTTCAATATCAAGGAGAAATACACTCATGCTTTGAACAATATCCGCACTAAGGGGCCAGCCGGCATTATCGATAACTTTCACGAAACAAAAAAAGTTTAGCTACGACCCTCCCACACCCACCCACCCCCCTAAATGAAAAATATATTGACTTGACAGCTAGAATCAAGAGTGCATAAACAAGAGTATGCAACTGTGGTTATGGGTCGGTGCGCGGCGCGCTGCCTTCATTACGTAATTTGCCTCCATCACGCTCTGAAAGCATGCACTCAAACCTACAATTTCTCGTGCAAGCCCAGCCGCTTTTGCTTGATTCGTTCCAGTACCTACGAGATCTCAAAATGTTGGCGCATGAACTCCAGTTCCGCACGAAAGTTCATTTCAAACCAGAGGGAAAGTGCGGTGTTTGATTTTCCGCAGTGCGCCGCGCATCTGGCCCATAGAAAAGAGATCACAGTTGCATACTCTTGTTTATGGACTCTTGCTAGAATGGATTGATGTTTCAGGGTGAATTATACGAAAAATACCATATCAATATTTTTCATAATGAAACTCTCCTTGGCCCACCCACCCAAATAAAACAAAACTTTTTCGTTTTGTGTAAAAAGATTGATAACTAAGCAGATCTACTAAATGATCCAAGTATGTACTACGTGAGCTTTACTGCACCTTGGTCTTCATGCTCACACACAGCCCCCCCCCCCCCACACACACCCACCCACCAAAACGCAAGCAGTATGAACTGAGCTGATTCTACGGTTGGTGCATGGCCCGCCCCAATCAATAATAACCCATTTTCGGGGGGGGGGGGGCAGGGCCATGTACCACACGTAGAACCGGCGTGATACGTACTACCAACGCACACGGCACACGAAAAACAGAGTCCACTCGAGGAGCCATACAAACGTAGGGCGTGGTACACTAAGTCACACGTGCTCAAAACAGAGTCCACGCAAGGAGGAACCAGACACACGTAGGGAGAGATACGCTGAATCAGACTTGTCGACCGTACCTTCAGAAAGCTATCCAAGACTTGTGTCTCCTCAGTAATGGCCAACATCTGGGCTCTCTGCTTACTGACGTCCAGAGAGGAACTTTCCAGCTTCTTGTAGTAGGACTTCAGGCGCTCTTCAAGACCCTGCGATTGCGAGGGCAGAAAGAAACGGGCAGAAGAAGACTTAGTAATGGGTAGAGGTTTTACAGGCCTGGGCACTTGCCTGCTCTGGCCTCACTCTTTCACACCACGCACACAGTGCCAAATCAATTTTTTCTTTCAGTGTTTTTTCCCCCTTTTCAACTCCCTCAACTAATGAAGAGCCCTGTTCATTAAAGATGCCAGGCAAGACAGAAAGGAAACATCACGCTTTGAAGCACAAAAAAATCATGATTATCGCTGCACCCAACATTAACTTGGCAGAGCTCAACTCACAGATATTTTTTTGGACATTTCTTCGTGCTCCTTGAGTAGTTCTGTAAGCTCTTTCCGCGTTTCGACAATCCGCTCAGCAAAGGGAATGTCTTTTTCGCGTATCAACTCGTAATACCTGTGTGGCAGGGGGAGAGAAGCACACAAGTGTATGCGCATTGTGCAAGTGCAGAATCCATGCGAATGAACACGTAACATTGTACAGTGGAGATTGGATATAACGACACTCCTTCGGGAAAGAACAAAATGTCACTATAGCGGTATTCGATCTGTCACTAAACCCGATCTTCACAAAGGACTTACCCGTACTAAACGACTTGGGCAGCAGAATTTTGTCGGCAAACTCAACCTGATGTTACATGCAAGGTCGTTAAATCCGATCTCTACTGGCTGTACGTACTCTAGCATCACCTGATGAATGCGCAGCATGGTCAGGCAAGACGGGTACAAACGCACATACACGCACGCACTCCCCCCCCCCCCCCCACACACACATATGCACATGTGCACACACACACACACACACACAAGCACAAGCACATGATCGCGTGCATGCGCGCACATACTCGCGCACGCACGCTCTCTCTCTCTCTCTCTCTCTCTCTCTCTCTCTCTCTCTCTCTCTCTCTCTCTCTCTCTCTCTCCCCCCCCCCCCCCCTCACACACACATACTCTCTCTCTCTTACTGTTTGACCTGCGATGCCCAGGTTTGCAGCTCCAGAATTGCCTTGTTTGTGCTCTGCTTTCGCAGGTTGGCCTGACTGAATGTACCCTTGTTGCTGTGCAGCGCTAACAGATCAATGGCCGTCATGCCCAGGGTTGTGTGCACGTCAAACGAACGCAAAAGTTCCAGAAACCTGTGCACGAGTGCGTGGGCAGAGGTGGGCAGATATACGAACAGGGAGGCAGACAGACAGGCAGACAGAAGCACGAACAGAGATACAGGTGAAAAGAGAGACGGAGCGACCAGCATGCATGCGCGGACACGCCTTTCCATTTATATACGCGCACACACGCTTGAGAATGCAGACAGACGCACGGACAAGCACATTTACAAACATCCGCAAAACGAAAAAAGCACAAGAGCCACTGGCACTACAGTTCTTCTCCAATGCTCGCGAGGATTTGCAGGATACAACTGCACAGAATCTACTAAGAACTTGCCCAGAATATGCCGAGAACGTGCTCATAACGTGCTCATAATCTGCTCAGGACATGCCAATAAAACGCTCAGAACCTGCTCAAAGCATAAGTCTTACCTCTCAGTGTTGGACATCAGCCTCTTGCATCCCCTACTCCAGGTATGGTCAGCTGTGGGAGATTTAGCTGAGAGAGGCAGACAGAAATGAGCAGATAGATAGATCAAAGTTAAAAAAGAGAGCACCATAAGTTTACAAGGTATCAAGATTACATGACTGTACTTGCATTGTGAGCGTCTAGCTGGATTCGTACCACTCCCAGGGCGTCAAGGGCCATGCAAGTTGAGGGCGTCAAATAGGCACTTGGGGTCGGATTTCATGGAGCACGACTGTAGCAAGAAATTCCGTTTGAACAGAAGACTATTTTAAACACACACCCAGAATGATGATGGAAGCCATGACATCCTCCACGACGGTCGGTACGGGGTTCATGAGACGCAACTCCTGCAGTGCCGGCAGATTGACCCGATCTACAGTTTCCAGGATCTGCTGCCGTAACACCTTGATGTCGTGCTTGGACTTCTCGCTGGCCATCTCGTACTCGGGCAGACGCTGCACAGCACAACAACCGTGGTGGGGCACATGCACACACGGAAACACACATGTGTCCGCAGCCGACACATATGCACACACACACACAAATCGCAAAAGTAAGCCGGCACCAAACGTAGAACTGCAGTAAAGAAACTAACGAAATTGACTCCAATTGCAAACATCTCCAGGTGCAAATTTGTCCGTAATCCCAAATCGTGAACAAAAACCGGCGCAAAAATTCCCCAGTTCACAGTAGCAGAAGGACAAAGACATACGTACCCACATGAGTGTACAAACACGACACACGGTGTCATGGCCATCATCACTTACCCGTCTCAAGTGCCGAATGTAGTCCTTCTGCGTCTGGTAGACCAAGTTGTACTCCTTGACCATCACAAGATCCTGCGCAACACATGGTACGTGCGTGTGCGTGTGTGTAGGTGCGTGGGGGGGATTGTGGTGATGGAGATGGGGAATGTGGAGGGGGAGACGGGCAGAGTAACAACGGCCATTTAATATTCAGGTTACCATAGGGAAAGTACAAGCATTTCTTGCACAGGAAAACGATGAGTCACCTGTAACCAGGGGCAGAGAACAGCCAATAGTGTGCAACCCATGATGGGCGGAAAGCGGACTCGTTTTCAGAACGATATCAGATTTCATAACGCTACCAGCTCTACGCACGCAAACAGAATGTGACCTCGGCTGCAATGAAACTAGAATAAGCTGCATCACTGCCAATGGATTAACACACACGTTACGAAACTGAAGTCCACGTACATGTACACTTTAAGCAGATGTGCGGCTGGATGGCTTACCTGGCCAATCTGCGACAGCACACGGCGACTTGTCTGTTATGGTCCCAGTATTGCAGAATAATAACAAAAGCCGCATGTATAAACACACACACACACACACATACATACACACATAATGTAAGCACATGCAAATGCACACATAGACACAGACACAGACACACACGCGCACTCACGCACATGCACGCACACACACGCACGCACACACACACACGCACCCCCCCCCCCCCCGCCCCACACACACACATCAGTACGTCTCCGATGCATGGCTTGGCTATGAACAGCAGCTTCGGCTGTCAGCATCGCTCCAGCCAGGCAAGCGTCTGGGACATTATTGACAATAACATATAGCAGCTATCCGCCACTGGCAAACCTAGACCAGCATGTCCTCTCGTGTAATTGGGCTTGCTTCCCGTTTGATTCGACGTATCAAAAGAAAACAACAACATATCCAGCATGTCACAGTGTCCACCCTTCGTCAGGTCAGTGTCCTGGGCTAACCAACAATAACGCCGTCTCCTTGATCACTAAATATAATATTATGAACGGTATCATTCGGCTGTCCAACAGTACAACAGATAACAACAAATGAAGTACCCATAACTCTTTCGTTGTTTGGACTTTTTGGTGTGTGTAATGGCTACCGAGGGTAGCCATGTATCGGCTGAGAGCGCAAGGAGGAGAAGGGATTGTTTCTCTGATCAGTTCAATGCAACATGTCTCTAACCTGTGAAATAGTTCCAGCTTCACCATAATTATTACTATACACTCTCTGGCCGACCTCATTCACACCACACACATTCACACTTGGAACCATCTTATTTACCCTCGTACTATGTCTAACCTCTCATTCAACAAATTTAGGTCACTGTGCATGTCTTTCGTTCAAAGCAGTGGTGGCCGAGTGGTTAAGGCGATTGACTCGAAATCAATTGGGCTCTGCCCGCACAGGTTCGAATCCTGTTCACTGCGAGCGGATTTTTTTGCCAGTTCTTGTTCGACTGCTTTTGACGGTTTCATCCCCATCTCCCATATTTGTGCAACATATGAATTGTCCAACGTTGTCTAAGCAGTGGTGGCCGAGTGGTTAAGGCGATTGACTAGAAATCAATTGGGCTCTGCCCGCACAGGTTCGAATCCTGTTCACTGCGAGTTGATTTAACTTTTTTATTTTATTTCTTTTGCTTTCATTTTTTCGTTCATTCATGATTGATCTTTACACCAGAGAGAGGTAGAAAGCTGTGTTGCAACTCCGAGTTTCACGTAGTCACGATCATCAGGCAATGCTACTTGATAAATACGAGATTGATCTTCACTTCACATTTCGAGAAATCATGACGCAATACAGCACCAGTTTGCTCACCGCTGAACCCATGATAGACTGAAAGACAAAGCATCACATTCACACAATTGCCATGCAATTGAGCGGCGACATACACTCAAGTGATGCTGATGCAGAAGCCTCAGCCTGATCAGAACCCCACTGAGTGCGTTCGATTTGGCCCACGAATCGATTTGAATCCATTCATGAATTACCCCTGGCTATTCTCATCACCTCCATTACGGTGAATTGATTAAGAACTGATTCCAGAGTTCATGACATGATAACCGGTCGACTTGAATGCATGAAATACCATTCATGAATCGATTCAAGGGCGTAATCGAACGCACCCGCTGACGTAGAAGCCTATGTCCAATCTGGACTCAACTGATCCAGATCTCGTTCCGACACCAGCTGGACGCCGGGCTCTGGGTTACGACGTGCCATGCTGCATTCGACAGCACTGCGTGTGGCTCGAGCGGTGAACATTCTCTCACTTTGTGCAGAGTTTAGATGCAAATACGACAAGCGTCGATTCGGGAGCATGGAGATTGTAGACACAGTGTCCGCAACTGGTCAAGGCGCATCTTTACGGAAAGGTTCAGAATCGAATTCCGACTGGAGATGCTTCATATCCTTAGGCAGATGTGGATTTAGACAAAACGCACATAAAACCCTTGTCTGAACAAATCCTTTCTTTCCTTTTCGTTGTGTGCCCTGCAATCATCGTTTCACATTTTGCTCATGCATGTCGACATATAGGAAATGCTTATGCTTGCAGCAAAACTAATTCTCTTTGTTGCTATACAAAAAATCCTTCTTTGGCCATTAAACGAAAAATGGCAAAATGAATGGGGCCACACACGTGCACACACAACCTGCTTGGCTTACCCCTTCGAGGTCTTTCAGCATTTCGTCCTCGTCGTCCTCTTTGGCCTTGAGATGATCCCGGCGTGCTGTCACCTGTTTCAGAACGGCCACAGCTTCGTTAACGATGTTACGGCGTTTCTTGTCCGCCGCAAAGTGTGCAGAGAACAGCTTGAGAAACCTGAAGAAGGAAAAGAGAAGAGAAGGAAAGTGGAGGTTGGTATGCATGCTACAGTTGTGTACCATAAAAGCCCCTGTATACGCCCACTCAAAATTACGCCCACCCTCCGTGTACACGCCCTGCCAGGGGAAGTCAACACTTTTGTTTCAAAATAGCGCCCATGCCCATGTATATGCCCAGGTATGCCGGCAACACCAGTACATGTACAGGTACCGATACCCAAAACTTACTGCTAACCCTATTCCAAGTATACGCCCGGTTCCAAAATAACGCCCGTGCCCCTGTACACGCCCAGGAAATCGAGGCTGCTATTCTATACGCCCGGGGCCTATACACGGGCTTTTACGGCATTCAGATCACGCACTGCCTTGTGGAAGATCTTACGGCATTTCTTGTTTTCCGCAAAGTGTGCAGAAAACAGTTTGAGAAAGCAGAAGAGGAAAAGAGAAGAGCGTGGAAGTTGATACCGTTTACGCATGCTATTAAGAATTCTCAGAGCACACACTGCTTTGTGGACCTTTTTACGGCATTCCCTGTCGGCCGCACAGAGTCCAAATCGTTTCACATTCAGTAATTTTGCCATTGGTAGCTGCCCTATTTTCCCCGAATGTAAGTCGCACCTTTTTACATTAAACTTCACGAGCGACTTACAATCGAGTGTGACTTCCTACTTGTGTGAATGTGTTGATACAATTTGGCTCAGAGCTGAAAATGGGGGTGCGACTTATAATCAAGTGCGACTTATTATCGGGGAAATATGGTATTGGATGAGCCAGGAAATGTTGAATACAACAGAACTCTAGCGAATATGCATTTTTTGTCAGATCCCGTCTCTCTCCTCACCTGGCCACTAAACCTTCAAACATGTCGTTTCGACCGTAAAGGAGACGCGGCCGACCGCTGGACACTGACTCGCGCTCCATGGCAGCCTGTGCCACCGAGTGAAGCTCAGTCAGCATACGGGCGAGGGCGGCGGACGAGTCATCGGAGAACAGCTCAGACTCTGCAGGGCGCATATGGGAGCAAACGGGACACACGGAAGAAAGACGAGAGAGATGGTCGGTAAATTAGGTAGTTCAAATCTTTGTAGGCGGGAAAGGGAGGTTCTGAGCAACACTAACTCATGCTCAAACACTGGATTTTACAAATTCATTTCATGAAAAAAATTCAATGTTTCAGTCAAGAACTAACCATCACCAGGAAGGTTTTGAACTTTTAACACAGTCATTAGAAAATTTAAGGATGGCAATAAATAGAATCAGCTGAAGCGTCATTTCACAAAGGTTTTATTGAGATGTCACGAAACAAATTCCAGAGAAAGTGGTCATGGACAAAGAAATACGATTCTGTTTAATAAACTTTTGTCACCTCGCCGCCTTTTCAGACATTAGAAAATGACCAGTTCTATTTGAGCCTCTGAGCTTCACGATAGAACTATCGTCAGACGACGGCGAACAACACACGTGTTGTCCGTATGTTTGCCAATCCAGATCGCAGACGACCTCACCTTTCAAATGGTACAGAGCTACGTCGACAAGGCCGTCACTGGACCAGGGCTCTTCGATGATCAACCCGCTGCCTTCCAGTAGAGACGGGAAGTGATCTTGACAGGCGTGGAACGCGGAACTCTCGCACGATGTGAACGTCAGGACAATGCGGATGTTGCGACGGATATTACTGCACACGGACACACGGGAAAAGGTGAAACACACGAAACGTAATATTGACACGAAAACACACATGTACATAATCGTACACTTACGCGTTCACACACACACACACACACAAATGCACAAGTGCACACACACACACGTACACACAAACACACACAAACACACACACACACACAGAGGTTGAAGTACTTATACATGCACCATTGCCCAAGAATTAATTACCCGGAGAAGATACGCAACATCGTTTGCCTGACTCAGGCAGTCAGTTTCACCCCTCAGATCCTGGCCAATCACCTCCATTGCATAGAGTATACCACACAGCATACAAACATTCACCCGCCAGCATACCTCTGGAACGCCTCCCAAGCTATGTCGTCCGTGTACGCCACTCCCAGCTTGCTGATGTGCGTGCGCATGGCGTTGACAATCTTCACACGCTCGTCTTCGTCGAACCAATGGTCCACACGCCCGCTGACCATCAGCTCATGCAGCAGGGACCTGTGGCAGCGCGTCGGAAAGTCGTCCGATGTCAGCAACAGAACTATGCGTTGGTTCTGCGAAAGGAACAAATGAGCATGGAAGCAGGTACACATGAAAGGATGGGTTCAACTAATACTTGCACGCACCATAAACACATGATCCATGAATGACTCGGCATGCGTTATTCGCAGGTGCTGTCCCCCAGCATTATTCATTACATCATGCATTACTCATTACATGATGTCATACAACGCATTATTCATTCCACCATACTTGGCTCTGTACTGCATGTATGTGGGTCAAATTGACGCCGATAAAATGAGGTGAATGTCTGTATCTCGTGACGAAAAATCTGGGTGCGGCTTATACGCCCGGAAAATCCTACATTCGGTACATGGCGCCAAATCACCGCCAACAATTGTGAATTATGCATTACACTGTACATGATGTCATACATGATGTCATTGGTCACCTACCTCAACACCACCCTGCTGGCACAGGTCCTTGAGCACCTTGAACAGGAGCAGCTGAGAGTTGACGCACACCTTGCCGCCCGCACCACCCGCACAGTCATCCGCCGTTGCCATGGGCACCACCCCATCACCACTTGGGGCGGCGGCACACAGCGCGTCGCTCCACTCGTGGTGCAGCAGATGCTCTTCGGCGCACGGCGTCAGCGTATCCATGGTGACGAACGCGGCGTCGTTTACGTAGCTGACCAGCGAGACCAGGTGCCGCGGCGTGAGCGGGTTACCGGCGGCAACCAGGATCACATGGCTGAAGTTACGCGGCTGGGCCAGCAGGTGCTGGACACGGCATATCATCTTCAGGTTGGCCTGTGGCAGTCACAATAATTATAATAAATGGGGAAGGAAAGAAAGCAACAAAATTTACAAAACTACCGTTAAATAAATGCAAAGAGAAAGGATTAAAGTTACTAGTTATGACTAAAAGTCCACCAAGGTAACCAAGGTAACGAGATAATATACAGTCAGATAGTGCAACGACAAGGCATAAAACTGACAAGGATATTATTGAGACATCCGGTCACCTGACACCTAGCTCCAACACATCTACGAAGCGCAAACCAGGTGCAAAAAGTTCCAATGAGGGGAAAGGATGCGCCACGGAGATGTGCACGCCTTTCCCAAGCCCCTCCTCCAGTCATTTCCCAGCCCGACCCGGGACTGTACCTGATGCAGAGGCACGGAGATCGGCGGGTGTTTCTCGTTGTACAGCATGAGTGCTCGCTGCATGTCCTCACGCAGCTTGTCCATGTCCTCCACTCGGTAGTACCTGTGTGTGGCGGCAGGGCGCTGGCCAGATTGCTGTCTGGCAGACTGCGGCAATGGCTGCTGTTGCTGGGGTTTAGCCGAGGACGACGCTGGTGTTGGCACTGACGATGATGAAGACTTCTTCGGCTGCTTGGCCTGCTCGGCTGTGGGTATGGTCCCGGCCGGCGCTGCTTTCTGTAGTGGTACCGTTGTACTGGCCGGTGCGGTGTCGTTGTTGCTGGAAGAGGCGATGTCCAGGCTGATCAGCAGCGGGGAACGGTAGAGTACCTCACAGTTAGACAGAACCACTTCAAGCTGTGTGTTAGGTTGGTATGAACGGACCACCATGTGGACATTGACCACACATGCATACACACATACATGCATACACACACGCACACAAATGCACGAATACACACACACACACACACACATGGACGCATACGGACACACACACGCACACACAAAGCCGGACAAGAACAAACAGAAAGCGTAGTCATCAGGAATAGGAGCACCGAAAAGGCACACAACGCCAGAAATATCTACTTCCGCAAGAAAAAGACCTAAAACTTTACACTTGGGAGTGCATTGCACACCAGTTGCATACAAATCATACTATAATGCGTACACGGTAGGTCCTGAACTCCGCAAGAGCATAAATCGCAGGTAACCGTACAACTTTGAACTTTGTATGCAACTACTCTGCAATGCCCTCCCAAGTCTAGTTGCACGCTTTTTTTGGTATATCGTCTATTGCTGCAATGCATAGCAATGGTGAGCTGTAAGAGATCCCGCAAGCGCCCCTTACCGCATCCCGTCCCGTGAAGTACATCTTTGCAAGTTTCGACAGAAGTATACCATAGCGCTCTCGATCCAACGACGTACACAGGTGCTCACAGAACAGCCAATGACACTCGTGTAGCCATAGCAACAACACCTGACGACCACTGGCAGTCTCCGGCAAGTGATTGTACAGTGAACTGTGCGCGTATGTGTATGGGCACGTGTGTCGGACATGTGTGTGTGTGTGTGTGTGTGTGTGCGTGCGTGTGTGTGTGTGTGCGTGTGTGTGTGTGTGTGTGTGTGTGTGTGTGTGTGTGTGTATGTGTGTGTGTGTGTGTGTGTGTGTGTGTGTGTGTGTGTGTGTGTGTGTGTGTGTGCGTGCGTGTGTGCACATGTATGAACGTCGTTGGGGATTGTGACAATTGGCAGGACACCAATGTGTTGACATGACCATTGGCAGGACACCGATGTGTTGAAATGACCATTGGCAGGACACCGATGTGTTGAAATGACCATTGGCAGGACACCAGGGTGTTGAAATGACCATCGGCAGGGCACCGATGTGTTGAAAGAACAATCGGCAGGACACCAATGTGTTGAAATGACATTTGGTAGGACACCGCAAAGTGACAGTTGGTAGGCCGGCAATGTGATGAAGCGACAGTTGACCAGTGAATAGACCAGAGAGTGGACGATGGCAGAGGATGCAAGAGGACACGAAAAAATATACAAAGTTTAGAGTTAGGGGTCGAATGAGGTATCAGTGGAAAGAGTGTGTTCAGAACTTTATTTGCCATGGCGACCCCCGTAAGTCCGTAACTGGCAGGGCAGGGTTGGGCCTTTCATCCTCCCGATGTTAGTAGCAAGTACTCTCGTTAGCAGTAACTGTTAGTACTTTGTTTGTTTGTTTTTTATTTTTTTATTTTCTCTATTTTTTTCTCTTTACCAGGCGTGGGCCATCCCCTGGACAAACAAAATTGGTGCCTTATTATTATTTTTCTGTTTCTGTTTTAATGACAGTCCACTGCACGCCTGAAAAAAGTACTTAGTTTATTAGGCGGGTTACAGAACTATCGACTTATCGTTCGCTGGCTTACTTGTAGTTTGATAACGCTTCGCTCTTCATTGAGATATCTACCATTCTCTCTTTGTTCTCCTTATTTTCTCCCCAACTCTCCTTCCCTGTAACATAATAACATATTCGCTGCCTTGTCATTGAGCATTTGTGCTCGTTTGGATTTGCGAATTCAAATAAAGTATACATACATACATACATACATTGTGTAGAAGTTTGAGAGGGTTTGGCCCCTCCTACGATGAGTTATTCATCATTGAAGTGCGCACGTGACCATGTCAAATTTGAAATTTTTGAAAGTGCGTACGCATTTGCGTGTGCGTAAGTGACAGTTTTCTCTGATTTTCTGTCCTAGCTTTCTACTTCGGCTACCGTAAAGTCTTGGATAAAAGCCGCACGTGAATAGAAGCCGCAATTTTGGGCAAAGCAGAAAGCGCAGACGTGCACTTCGCAAACGCCTAGTTGATGCTTCTGTTGAGAAGGAGGGTGTCACATAATGCCGCAGGTTGGTTTTAGACACCTTTTTTCAGCCTTTTTGGGGCACCCGGTGTGTCCGTTTGAGTAATATCTGTACAACTATAAGTCGTATCATCATAAATCTTAGGTTTAGTCGCATCAAGTACGTTTTCACAGCTACACAGTGAACCTTTAGAAACGAGCAAAATGATCAAGACCGTCATGCTTTCTCCTGGAGAAGGCAGCCATGTATGCGATGCGCAAATTATTGACCCTACGTTGAGCTGCTATTGTACAATTTTCTGTGCCTGGATCCAGGTTTTCTTAGGTTTACCCTGTTGCTACCTCATTGCCCTTGGTTTTACTTGATTTTTTCATCCGGTGGCACGCATGTAGTAATCACAGATTTTTCAAACCGTTTTTGAGTTCGCAAAAAATGACGTTCACAATCGCAGTCCTTGATACCTGGAATCTTCGCTCGCTTGGTGAGCAGGCCCTACTGTACGGCTTGAAAAAATAGAAATTGTCATCGCTCGCACCTTCTACGTACCATCACCTGGAATGCAAGACTATGGAGAAGCTGATAACCTCTGATCTGCCATACTGGCTAGAGAATGTTCGCCAGAACAGCCATCGATTGACATGTCTCGGATCTTCTTTTTTTTCTTGTCAAGGATTCGAAAAGGTAACGCGAAACATAGAAATAACTTGGTGCGGTATAAGCTAGCATTGTCCAAATTTTCATTGGAAAATCTTGTATGGAAGTGTTATTATGCCCTTTCGGCCGTAACAAATTTTTGGCCAAACATGTCCAGGCCGAAAATAGCTGAAAATAAATATGCGCCTAATATTTGTTGACTTACAGTAATGAGAGACAAGTCTCACACCGATGTACACCACATGTTTTTTTTTGTTTTTTTGTACACAACAGAACACCAAGGACATTCAAGGCTTGTTTGCTGCTACTACAAGTTACATGCTCACGCAATCATCAGGCAACACCTGCCTGATGATTGCGTGAGCATGAAACTTGAAGTAGCAGCAAACAAGCCTTGATTGTCCTTGTTGTTCTGTTGTGTATTACGCTCTGCCTTTGTGGTGTTGAGCACTGTCAGCACTCTGGGTACATCCTTCGGTTCTTTTTTTCTACAAAGTCCACATATCTCCAGACACTGGGGTGAATAATGGAGTGTGGTGGTGGGGCCCATTAAGCTCCGCCGACCAGAGGTCTCGGCTTCATAGCTCCATGGACGCACCAAAGTACACGTATTCCTAGTAGTACTAATTCCTAGCAGCCACGGATGGCAGCACGTACCTGATGATCGCGTTGACGGTCAGCATCGTGAAGTTATAGTGCTGTCGCCACGGTCGCGGCTGGAACAGGTCGTTCATGCGCCGCTGCAGGTCGATGGTTGCCTTGACGATGCTGAGCAGCATATCGGGCGGCACACGCAGGTCAAGAGTGGTAATCTCGTAGGACAGCTTGCTGGCGTCGAACTCCTCGGTGGAGAAGTGTGCGCTGAGCAGAGAGTGGTGTAGTAACTCCATCTCGTCCAATCTGTGGCGGGAAAAAAAACAAGAAATACATGTACATGTACATGGAGTGAGGCTCCTGCAGCAGCACTGCCACTCTCATGGCAGACACAGTGAAAAAAGTTCTAGCAAACATGCATATACATGGGTGTGTGTGCACACATGCATGTATATATGCACGCACACGTACGCGGACACACACACACTCTCTCTCTCACACACACTCTCTCCCATACACACAAATACGCTCACACACAAATACGCTCACGCACACGCACGCACGCACGCACGCACGCACGCACGCACGCACGCACGCACGCACGCACGCACGCACGCACGCACGCACACACACACACACACACACACACACACACCTTTGACCTTTGACGCCCATCGCCGGAGGCGATGACAGCAATGCTACGGCAGAAGCCATAGCAACTTGTGCTGGGATTACACCATTCAACAGCTTGCAAGGCTGAAGAATTGACCGTCACTATTCAGCCTGGTCTACACCATACAGCTATTTGGAGTGACATTTTCTGGCCAGTGAATCCCTATTTTTGGTCTTTTTTTTTTTTTTTCCCGCACACACATCACACCACATACTCCGGCATGCACTGGCTGTTGGTAACCACCCAGGAGAATGAAAGAAAAGTCAGGAAGAGTCTGAGAAAGAGAAGAAAGACGTGTGTGACCATAATCGTCGGGAATCGAACCCGCAATCTATCGATTGGAAATCGCTGCACATACCACTGCACCATATGGGACACACACACACACACACACACACACACACACACACACACACACACACACACACACACACAAACACACACACACGCACTCTGCTAGCCTGACTCACGATGGTTCGGAGCACGGCAGCACGACCATGTGGTGCAGTAGACGTGCCGACACCACACTGCCCATGACTGGCTTGTCCCGCACCGCCAACACACTGGGCGCTGGCGTGGGTGGACGAGGTGGCAGCGACATCACCACCATCGGTAGCAACGACTCCAACACATGCCACTGACAGTCTCCACTCGGCGCGTGATAGCCTTTCTGGTCGAGCAGTTGCCGTAGCAACTCGACGGCCGATTGCCCTGTGCCAGATGGAGGAACCTGTGACGAGGGGAAAAAGATGAAAGGACGGAATAAGCAACAATGCCGAGAAAGAGAGAGAGAGAGAGAGAGAGAGAGAGAGAGAGAGAGCCTGGCCTAAAAATTTGGATAGGGCTATATTTATTTCATTTTATTCGGAAGAATTGTAATGTAGAGACTGTTTTGTGCAGTGCTGTATACTTATTGTGTGAGAGGTTTTAAAGAGGCTACAATGGAGTCTGCACATGCCGAGGAAAGTGTTTTGGTTTGTGTCTTCAATCTAATGCAATAGTAATGTGCTGGCGTTGTGCCTGTGACACAAACCTAATACTGTCAGATTCTAACTCCTAGGTTACGATTCAAACCTAATACTGTCCGATTCAAACCTAATACTGTCCGATTCAAGCCTAATACTGTCCGATTCAAACCTAATACTGTCCGATTCAAGCCTAAGGCCACACCGTTTTTTATCTATGTTTCGCGTCCCCCGCGCGCATGTAATTCACAGCCGGAGTTTAAAAAAAAAAACGAACAAAAATTTTTTTTTTTTGAAAATGCAATACAAATTTAATGCAAACCCAGAAAACCGGAAAATGACTCAGCTCACATGTACATGTGTGTGCAATAAGCTGGGCCGCAAGTCACACAATCATCATGTATTCATGTACATGTCAATGTACATGAACAGTGCCGCGTCGCTTCACTGTACACAAATGCAATGCACGTACACTGTTTTTTGGATGGCTTTTTTTATTTTTCGCCATCCCTCATTGATTTCATCGAATAAGGTGACGCGAAACAGAGAAAAAAACGGCGTGGCCTAATACTGTCCGCTTCTAACTCCTTGCCGATTGCATACATGTACATCAGGCTGTAGCTTTCCGTGAAGCCCAGAGCAACTCACCAGCGCCTTCTCTAGATTCTCCATGACGACGATGAGCTGCTTCTTCTGCCGCGGCGTGTACGTGTAACCATAGCGCCACTGCAGACGTTTCTTCATGCTGTTCCACACATCCACCGATGTTGTACATCTGTCAGGACACATACATTAGAAAACAATTACGGCTTGAGCGAGACTGCGCCAGACTGAGTTTTCCATATCTGCAGGAATGCCGAGAGGATCGAGGCGCAGGTGCAGCTCCTAAAGCGGCGAGAGGTGAGCAATTGCAAATTGGCAAGCACTTTCACAAGGCAACCGAGCAACCGGCGTTTACACCTAAAGAGGTTAGTGCACAAAGGATGAGTCCGTGCTACCATCCACCACCGTCGCCGCCACCAGCACCAGCAAAACCAGCACAACCAGCACCAGCACCAGCAGCAGCACTAGCAGCACCACCAGCACCAACACCACCAGCACTAGCAGCACCACCAGCACCAGCAGCACCACCACCACGATCAACAACACAACCACTTTAACATTATAGCAGAATCAGCAGAATCAGTGGCAGCATTTCTCACCGTGTTGCTTCAATGGTCAAGCAGCCTGTATCGCTGATATCACCCAGACTAACTCTTGACGTGTACTGCTCTACAATGGTGGATTTGCCAACACCCGACATTCCTATCAAGCAGGTTGCAATGTTGGAATCGGCTAGCAAGGACAGCAGATAGTGCAATGCCTGAACAGAGCGAGAGAAAGAGAGAGAGAGAAAGAGAGAGAGAGAGAGAGAGAGAGAGAAAGAGGGGGGGGGGAGAGATAGGGGCGACAGACAGAGACAGATATATGGACGGACACACACGCACGCACACACACACACACGGACGTACGGACGGACGGACGGACGGGTAGCCCAGAGAAAGAGAGAAAGAGACAGATAGACAGAGAGATAGCACGGTAAGAGAATAGCATGTTTGTCACTTTGCCTGGCATCTGGTCATATTCGAATCGACATGATGGCAACCCTCGCACTCTGCTCTCTCCGTGCACCGCTTTCAACACACTTGCGCGTACGTGTAGAACATGTGGTGTTGCTTGGTAAATGCGGAGAACGTACTGCCAACTTTGATGCTTTCAATTACCTTGGTGGTCATACTTGACACGATTCTCGCCAGTGATTTCTCTATCGGTCTCCGTCTTACTGAGTTTGTGGGGAAAGGAACAACAAGAGGGCTTACAAAGGGACTCGACACTACAGCATCCCGCATGATCATCTCCACAATCATGCACTCGACTAGGCAAAGACAGTTCGGGGAACGTCATCACAATGCGAAACACTAGGCAGAGCTGGGCGACACACTTACTGCCAATCGCGGAGTCTGAACGACCGTCCCACCGCCAGCTTGCTCGGCACTGACGTCGTCCACACCTGGTTTAGTGTACCCGGGTACCTTGTCAGCCCAGCAGCGATAACAGTACTGGTCTTCGGCGAGCACCACTACCAGCTCAAACACCTGCAGCAAAACAGCACAAGTAAGACGAGCATACCGCCTCTTGCCGCTGTCACAATAGAGCTTATGCGGATTATTTCATCGGGACTTTCAAATGGGCACAAGTATATGAGCGTGAGTCAGCAGATTTTCGATTTTTGTGAATAGGCGCCAAGTATGCAGCGTTAATCACTAATGGAAAAATCTGTGACTTCGTCAAAGCATCTCAGATGATGATGTAATCCCAATAACATTCTATAGAGGTTATGCGAATGACGTCACGAGGAGCGCCAAGGCGGCTGCGAGTGGCAGGGGTGGCAAAATGAAGTCGTTTCTGCTTGAACTATTTTTTACTAGTCTTTGAGAGGAAAAGTAAAATTTGTTGTTGGTTGTCGACATATCGTTCCTCACTTTTATTTTGATTTCCGCTGGTGTCTCGCTTGCTGAAGTTTTTAGCCTTCAACATGCCGAAGAGTTGTGCAGCCGTCGGATGTAGCAATCGTGCCGATCCTGGAACGGCTGTGAAGTTTTACAAGTTTCCTGTAGCGGACGAGCGGCGCAAACTATGGGTTGCGGCTATGAGACGAGAGAATTGGAAGCCAACTGACAGTAGCAGGATCTGTTCAGACCATTTCGTAGGCGCAGAGAAGAGCAACGATCCACTATCTCCCGCTTACGTTCCGAAACTTTTTGAACATGTCAGGACTCCTGTAAAGCGTAAAGCGGAGAGGGATTTGGTGGCATATGAACGCCGAGCGAAGCGGAAGCTGACGTTCGAGGAGAGCAAGACGCAGACACCAGTGAAAGTGGACGCCTCCGGGAATGACTTCACAGAAGCAATGGCAGATTTGCCTGGTGCCTATGGTGCAGAGGTAGAGTCTGATCCTGTAGCAGTCTCCAGTGTCTCATCGCAGACTGACATGGATATGGAGCACTTGACGCGGCTGGAGGAGACAAACAACTGTTTGGTCCTGGAAAGCAAACGGATGCCACACGCTCCAGGACAAGGTGACACCTTGTCAATCGAGTCGTTTGAGAAAGACAACGCGAAGGTGCTCTTCTACACTGGTTTGCAGTCTTTTGGGACCATGATGGGCATATTTGAACACGTGAGGAAGAGAGTTCCACAGCACCACCGCCACACGCTCTCTCTCTTCCAGCAGTTCTTGATTGTTCTCATGAAGCTTCGGCTGAATTGTCGGGACCAAGACTTGGCGTACAGATTCGGCATTCACCAGTCGACCGTGTGCCGGATTTTCCAGCGCTGGATCCGGGTGATGCATGTGATGCTGGGACCACTTGTCAAATGGCCAGAAAGGGACGAACTACGCAAAACTCTGCCACTTGAATTTCGTAAGCATTTCCCGGGCTGTGCTGTCATTATTGACTGCTTTGAAGTTTTTTGTGAACGACCTTCTGATCTGATGGCAAGAGCTCAAACGTACTCTCACTATAAAAGCCATAACACTGCAAAGTTTTTGATTGGCGTAGCGCCACAAGGTGTCATTACATTTATTTCGCATGCATGGGGCGGGAGAGCCTCAGACAAGTTCATCACAGAGCACTGCGGTCTGCTTAGTCACCTAAATCCGGGTGACCAGGTGCTGGCTGACCGTGGTTTCACTGTTGAAGACAGCGTTGGCATGTTCTGCGCAGAGTTGGTGATGCCCCCATTTACGAAGGGGAAGAAGCAACTCTCCAGGCTGAAATTGGACAGTGCTCGACAAGTGTCACGCGTCCGTATCCATGTGGAGCGAGTGATTGGAATGCTTCGCCAGAAATACACGATCCTCTCTGGCACTTTGCCCATTGCTTTCCTCATGCATGACGATAAAGCTACATCATGTGCATTCATTGACAAGGTTGTCACCGTCTGCTGTGCTCTGTGCAACTGTTGTGAGTCCGTCGTACCTTTCGAGTAAATTACATCATGCCGCTTTGTCAGCTGTAATGATTGCTATATTATTATTATATTATTATTCAAATTTATTATTAACCCTTTGTGCTTTTTGGACTGTCTGGATATACCGGCAATTATATTTCTGTTTTACCTATTCTGCAGTTGCATGCGCATGTGTTCACCTCATTGACCTCGCTTGTTTCTAGTTTCTTTTGTCTGGCTAGCCAAGCTTGCTTGGTCATGGCAACGCCAACAGACTTATAATAATAGTAATAATAATGGCTTCTATCATCACTCACGACATGCCTCCGTTTCTTGTTGCATCAATATAATGACTCGTGGTCCAAATAGGGACAACACAATATAATAATTATGAATAGCCCTGAAACCCAACTTAGGGTGCTGGGTAGTGCACGATGTACCATCAGATGTAGTATGCCCAGCACCAAAGAACAACTCAACTTATGCCAACATCACCCGGAAGAGACGTAAAGAGCGAAGTGTTTGATGTGTAATGATGGAGTTCCTCTGTTCACATGCATAAGCAGTGAGTGGTCTTCACGCATGTCCTGGGACCCACAAATACGAATCAATCAGCATTATGGTCCTTCAGAGATACATGCAAGCAAAGAAATACAAGAAAGGTAACGGAAATCGTTGTGAAAGCCCAGCCACCGATTGTATGCACACACGTGGCAAGTGCAACAGCAAGTACCGTGGAAGGCACAGCAGAACAAGTTGAAAATGCAACTCTAGAAATACCAGAATAGCAGGCTCCATGAATATAATCACTTCTCAAATGCTTGAGACTTGGATTTACAAATGCTACGACAAAAATGACTATGTACATGGAAAGTTGGTTGCACCCCATACTAGAGGTCGAGCTTTTCTGCCGCCTTGACTGAACATTTGACTGACTCACGACTGCCATTCAGAAACTTGACAAACTCACGACTTCCATCCAGACACTTGACTGACTCACAACTGCCATCTAGAGCAGAGAAGAAGTCCCTCGAGCCCTACTTCCGGCAAACCTGCAAGAAAGCACCACTCCCTGCTCAATACACAGTGTTTCGGGGAATTCACCCCTCATGCAGTTGAGCTTGAGTAGGCTGACGAACGTTGTACTTAGCGACCAACATTCCTATAAACTTGTCGCCGAAGTCGCTACCACTGTAATTGTACATGCATATCATTATTTAGTGGCAGATTTAATCTTGCGACACTCCGGGCAGGTCCAGTTCTTGCGCTTTGGCTTACTCTTCAGCTGCAAACAAGCCATGTGGAACAAACGAATACTGCAATCGTTGTTGGAACATCGCAGTACCTCGCCAGCCTTCACAGACTTGCAGTAGCAAAACTCCGGAGGGCGTTCTTGATCCGCAGTAGATGTTGTACTGGCAGCACCAAGTGGTTCCGAGGCTGATGTAGCCGCTGAAGACGCATCGGCAGGAAGAGTGGAGAACGTCTTAGTGAACCATTTCCCAACAAGCTCTGGGAGAACAGCACACTGGAAGAATTTCTTGGCACCTGCTACCGCTTCACGGATGAAATCTGTGTCTGCACAGATACGCTCCACAAACAGCTGACCTTCATTCCACACAACAAAGTCACAGTACTGCACCTTACACACCAGCATCTGTAGCTGTACTTGGTAGTAGTACATGTGGTCTTGCTTAAGATGGAGTGCTCCGCCGGACTTTACTAGACAGAACTTCCCTGAATCGGCAGCATCATGCAGGCTACTGTCTCGGCACCCGTACGGGCACTTCACTTCCACCACGCCGTTGCCACAGCAGGAGCACTGCACAAGGGAGTCGGGAGTAGCGCCAAGATATGGATAGTCCGGATGAATTACAAAGCCACTGGGCAGTACTTCAACCTTCTGATGTGTTGCACTGGCATGTTCACTATAGTTGTCAATTGCCTTCTGCTCGTGATCACATCCCCATTGTGTGGCTTTGCTACGAAACTTGTGTGCCTCAGGGTAACACACAGAGCGGACTAAGGACGCAGAGGGCTGGCTAATATCCGTGCGAACAGCAGACTTCAACTTTGAAGCTGTGATCCGGCCGGCGCGAAATTCAAACCAGGCCTTGGAATCTGCCTGGTTCCGCGTAGCCTGTTCCACAGCGCGTGCTTCCTCCTCTGAAACACAGACCGCTGGAAATACTGCCTCGCAACGAACGAGCAGGTCCCCAAAACTAGCATCCAGCATGTCTGGTTCGTACAATAAATCCAAAATGGGTGGATATCCCTCGGGCTTGGAAGGTACGTACCTATCGCAGAACCCGGGAACAAGGGAGAGTAATGACGGTTTACCGGCTTGACATAAATTTCCATATAGTTCACCCAGCTCAGCACTGGAGGGTTGCTTAATATCAGCAGGGACCTTCTCCTCCGACCTACGGCGCTTGCTCCCATGCTGTTTAGTGTCGGGTGCAGTGAAGTTTATGTCACGAATCCTGGCATACTCCACCTCCTTCATTGAAGGAGTTGACCATTGGCACGGCAATGAAGTGCTTCCTGTGTTCTGAATCAGCTGCGTTCTAGAATACAGGCTGAACAACAGTGCAGCAACGTGAGAACAAGACTCACCAAGACCAGCCATGCAGGTGCAGTGTGCACAAATCACGCTACCGTCGTTTTGCGCAGCAATCCAGGGTTGCAGATGGGTGCCGGAAACTGACTGGGAATGGCGGACTTTGGCGATGACAAACTTGCTGTCACATGTGTCAGATTCGGACGCTGGAAACGCACGAACATCGCCGACCCAGCCACTGACAAGGTATTTGTAGCCTTCCAAGCTCTTGTAGGCCTTGAGCTGCTCCTTGGTGTAGGGGCTGGGCGCGTTGACCAAGAAATTGTAAATATCGGGATAGTCCACAAGTGGAAATTTATCTTCCTCTAAAAAAATACTTCTGGGCAGGTAAGGATCACTCGAGTCTGGTGAAACGCGCTCGAGCTTTTCACGGTACCGGCATTTGCTGGAGTCATCTAACTCGTCATACACTTTTGAAAACTTGGGAGAAGTCATGGCCACTGATTCAGCGTTCGTACAATAGTCCTTTGTAAAGAACAGAAGAGGAACGTAACAGCGATACAGGAAATTTCCTTCGTGAAATTATTCCAGGCACATGTACTTCTTTTGAACTTTTCATCTCTTTTGCCACCCCTGCGGAGCGCGGCCGCTTTGGCCGCCTACACGCCGCCTGCACGTGATCCTTTCGCATAACCTCTATACCTTTGGGTGAGCTGGTTGAAAAGTGCAACTTGGTGGGGTTGGCATTTTTTCTCTTTCCACGCTTCCAGGCAGTTCACTTCCCTGACTGACCCTTTGAATTTGAAGTTCTCCCAATCCTTCTTACATCTAACAATCTAGATATTCCTATTCCCGCCTTTGTGTACATGCATACTGTATTTCAATGTGTACTCTAACCCGGTCAGTACCTGTCCTTTCTCCGGCAGCTCCACGATGTCGAGCAGTTGCTCTCGCCACCAGATGCAGAACGCGTCCGCCCGGTCAGGCGCGAACAACGTTACGCCGCCGTAGGCCCACATGGCGGCATAGGTGACGAAGCAGAGGATCTCCTCCATGCTAAGCTCTTGCCAGTGGCTCTGCTGGACGGGCTTCTGGAACAACGTACACTGGACAAAGAACAAAAAAGGAACGAGAAAGAGTCATGTTCCCCCACTCCATTTAACTAAGGATATACAAGCGATATGTGCGACAATAAAACGCTACGGAACAAACCAATTTCACCAAGCACAACATATGCATACACTGTGACACAACTGTGCACAGATACACGAAAATAAGAACGGTCTAGGCTAGGAGGCTGAGCCCCCAGTTCTTCGGCAACCGACAGTACCGTATGCAAGCGAGCCTACACAATTCAACAGGCCCCCGTCCGTACCTCCATGATAGCAGTGAACGTCTTAACCATCCCAGCCTCGCACAGCCAGACGGACGAGTACGCTCTATCGACGACACCGTCACGCATCAAACCCTGCTCGTACAGCCAGCCAATGGCAGCACTCGACAGCGACACACACGCATCGCCAAAGCTGGAGAAGTCGCTGCGTAGCGTGACAGGGGCAGAAATGCCCTCACTGATGATCGCCTCGTGCTGTTTGTCAAGCCAGGCTGAGAGGACGGTGTGCCACTCCATGTCACCATGACGGAGCACGAGATGTGGGATGAAGCACTCCGACATGATCTCGTCTGCCGTCGTCTGTATTCACAGACGTACGCATATGTACACACACACACACACGTGCGCGCGCGCACACACACACACACCTTTGACCTTTGACGCCCATCGCCGGAGGCGATGATAGCAATGCTACAGCAGAAGCCATAGCAACTTGTGCCGGGATTGCACCATTCAACAGCTTGCAAGGCTGAAGAATTGACCGTCACTATTCAGCCTGGTCTACACCATACAGCTATTTGAAGTGGTTTTTCTGGCCAGTGAATCCACACACACACACACACACACACACACACACATACGCATACACACATACACACACAAGAATTCACAGACAGACGCACACGTACGTACACCAGTACACACACATGATCTTGACCTTTGACCTACGCCCGTACATACGCATCCGAATCAAGTTCGAACACGTGAAAGCATGGAAACAGCTATGCGAGATCCTGACAGCATGAGACCAAGCGATACAGACGCACACACGCACACAGCATACGTGGCAATCCCTGGCAGTTACACCAATCCGATTCTGTTTTCCTTAGGATTGGAGCAACTGTTTCAACGGGTCCTTACCTCAATAATGATCCTGACGGAAGAGGACAGGTAGATCACATCTCCAGTGGGTAGGTGATAGGATGGGACAGCTGTAGAACACATCACACAATATACATGCAGTGGGCTAGTTAAGACGTCTGTACGCCAGGGAGTCGTAGAATCTAAACTACAGTACTGGCTAGCGCCGAAGAACGGAGCGCCGAAGAACGGAGCGCCGAAGAACGGAGCGCCGAAGAACGGAGCGCCGAAGAACGGAGCGCCGAAGAACGGAGCGCCGAAAAACGGAGCGCCGAAGAACGGAGCGCCGAAGAACGGAGCGCCGAAGAATGGAGCGCCGAAGAACGGAGCGCCGAAGAACGGAGCGCCGAAGAACGGAGCGCCGAAGAACGGAGCGCCGAAGAACGGAGCGCCGAAGAACGGAGCGCCGAAGAACGGAGCGCCGAAGAACGGCCAGGCTAGGATTTCACCAAGCACAGCATACTAATGCGTGCACGGTGACTCAACTGTGCATAGACTGAAATACGTACATGAAAATAAGAACGGTCCGGGCTAGGAGGCTGACCTCTGACCTTGTAGTCCGTTATTTTGTCTACGTCGTGTGTATGTGATGTTGGTGCATGCGCGTGTTGCTGTGGTGTGAAAAGCAGTCTTCGTCTTGAGTTCGTCATGTCTAGTTGTGTTTCGTTCGCCTTGTCACAAATATAGTCTTTCGACTGTAGTTATCTCGTCGACCATTGGCTGAGTGTGGAGATGGCATGGGGCTGGGAGCAGGTGAAGAAGTCAACTACAACATGTATACGACTCTGCACCTAGGTACATTGAGCTCGAGCTCTCTCCCTCCCTCCCCCTCCCCCTCCCCCCCCCTCCCTCCCTCCCTCCCTCCCTCCCTCCCTCCCTCCCTCCCTCCCTCCCTCCCTCCCTCCCTCTCTCTCTCTCTCTCTCTCTCTCTCTCTCTCTCTCTCTCTCTCTCTCTCTCCATCCCTCTCTCGCTGTCGTAACTTTGCCTGAGTGACACGTGGTCGACGTAGCTCAGGATCGCGATCGCAGACTTGACCTGCTGACCGCAAGCGCCGCCTAGACAAGCGATGTCACGGCGAGTATGTATAGATCAGCCGTGCCGCGTCACCAAGGGTACCCGTAGCCAGCAGCACGGGGTCGAAACCCAAATTGATAAGAGCTACTGTGGTCTGTGTCGTCTCCCTGTGAGCTACTACTCCTAGGTGCCCCTTCATCTTCGTCGAGCTGGTCTGCCCTCCCGGAGCATGTACATCCAGCCCACACGGTGTACTCGCTTTAACTATGCAGTTCATTAGCCATCCAATGATGTTTCCACTCTAAAGCCTCCCATTATAACTCCCTTCTAATTTAGACTACGTCTTTGGGAAATCCCCAAATAAATATCATAATGTCATCATCACGTACCTGCTGTGTGCAGTAGAAGAGACTTCAGAATGGCTTGCTGGCCTTGTGATAACTGCAACACGCACATTATGTGTAATAAGAACTTAGAGGGTGAGCCACGGAAACAATTGTAACATGGGAAAATGTGGGCACAAGTTTTGCGATCGAGTCCACCAAACTAAACCAGATCTTGAACAATCAGACACACACATATGTGTACACACACAAACCAGGTGAACTGATGACCATATAGGTAGACAGACAAACAGACAAACAGATAAACAGACAAACATGAACACATGCATACAAGCACAACACACACATCCATGCACGCACCTACCCACCCAATTACTCATCCACTCAAGTTTCCCCAGCAATACGACTTTTGTAATAGCCCAGACCTGCCGCACACATAGACAACCGTACCTCTCCATCCAGCACAATCCACTGCTGGACTGCGGGTGAGGAGTGACATGCCGTTCTGAGCAGTCGCGTTAGCACGCCATCATGCCACACCCTGTAGGCGCACACGCAACATGACAAATCAGAACCGAAACCATCGTCTGCGATCCACACACACACACACACACGCACGCACACACGCGCGCGCGCGCGCGCGCACACACACACACACACACACACACACACACGCACACACACATGCACACTTTCCAAGCTCACACCTTGGCCATTCTACACAGCACACGCCACCACCCTCAAAGATGAAGGCGCAGATGCAGCTTCCAAAGCGGTGGGAGGTAAGCCGGGCATATTTAAAGGCACAGGGTAGACGCATCGCACTCCCCTAGTACCGGCATCTTCGTAGCCAATGAGCTGTGGGCTACTTAGTACTCATAAGCCATTCTGCTAGTTCACTACCATGATATCATCATCTGCATACGCTCTGTAAGCCAGGCATTTAACCCTTTGTGTACGGACTGTACAACTTTCGATCCCCTGGGATCGAAACTTTTCAAATTTTCAATCGATCGTAACTCAGTCATTTCTGGGTTATATCCAAAAACTAAAATATGTAAGTCAAAGAGAAAACTCCCAGCTGTCCATTAAAACAATCGCTGAAGCGCTCCGATGTGTGGTTCCAGAGTTACGAAGCTCGAAAGTCGAGATCAAATTCAGTCTGTGTACAATTTTTCAGTACATAAAGGGTTAAAAGCCACGGCGAGGAGACGCATCGCACTCACCTGGTGTCGGCACCCTCGTATCCAATGAGCTGTGCCGTCGTTTTTACGCCGCTGACGTTTTAAGTTGCAATCAGATAAGTAACTGGGCTCGCGTATGCAGCGCATTCCTTGAAATCATCTTGGGCCCTAAAAGGTTAAATACGAGGCGCATTCCACTCACCTGGTATCGGCATCCTCTTATCCGATGAGCTGTGTGCTACTTAGCTCCCACAAGCCAAGCCACAGACCCATGCTGTATACTTACTTATTGCTTAGCTCCCAAAAGCGAATCTGCTAGTTCACCAACATGATACCCTCATCTGCAGAACCTCTATACAAGGCAGGCATTTTAAGGACGGCGAGGCGCATTCCACACTCACCTGGTGTCGGCATCCTCGTATCCGACGAGCTGAGCGGTTGTCATGCCACTGACGTTGATCCACTGGACGGTGGTAGGGACGTCCATCTTGTGACACACGGCGGCTGCTAGGCGTATACACGTCGTCTTGCCAATGCCAACACGGCCACGTATGCCCACCTGCACACACAGGAAGTACATGAAGAGTTTAGACGCAAAAGGCGACAACCGTCAATTTTGAGAAAGTCAGATTTTGAGCTCATTTGAATCAATAGGTCTACATGTAGAAGCACCGCTCCGCGGACCATGTGACTGGGCAAGAGTGTGAAATTTTACTAACAGGACATGTGTGAGAGAGAACCCTGACAGTATGATACATGTACATGTGGAGTGTATGCCAGGGGAGGGGTGGGATGCTATCCCTGTGTGATGGAGAATATGGAATACTCTTTCGTTCGCCAAGTCAGAATTCGCGAGAACACCTTGAAAGGCGAACAGACAAATATTCTATGTTTTCCTGTGGCTTGCTCACTCTCCTCAATCATGTGCAGCGAATTTTGTTTCACCACAACTGATGGGTGCCTTCACACAAATGAGGACGCTGCTGTCTGAGTGATCTGAGAGAAGAACTCTTCTTCCACTGCGAGCGCAAACTTCAGCTACCGTATTTCCCCGACAGTAAGTCGCACTCGATTGTCAGTTGCACACCCATTTTTCAGGTCCATGTCATACCGACTTCAATATACTCAATTCAGTAGCAAGTCATGTTCGATTGTAAGTCGCACCCTCCATGTTTCCCCTGTTGTGTAGTGTGAAAAAGGTGCGACTTATATTCGGGGAAACCCGGTACCAGCAATGAAAGGTCTTATTTATACTGTTACAACCGTATATTCTCTATTATAAGCGCTGTGCTTATATCTTTCCAACACCCCTCTACCCCGTGCTTATATTGGAGACCGTGCTTATATTTTTTCAACCAATACATCCGTACAGAGCAGGAAGACATGCATGCAAGATAATTATCAAGCATGCAGCATTGGTTTCCACCAGGACCATGCCAGTGATAGAAACTGTGCTTACAGTGCTTATAATGTTTCGAAAGGTGCTCACAGTGTGCTAGTATTAGAGACTGTGCTAGCAATGGAGACCTGTGCTTAGAATAGAGAATATACGGTGTGTGCCTTAGTGTCACGGCGAGTGCGTTCGATTACGCACTTGAATCGATTCAAGTGCATTCAAGTCGTTCGATTTTCATGTCACGAGCCCTGGAATCGATTCGGAATCCATTCACCATATTCACATGGGGTGATGTGAATGATGTGAACAGCGCGAATCGATTCACGAATGGATTCATGAATCGATTTGCGGGCATAAATTTTCGGTGCTCAATATTTTCGGCACGAGGGCAACAGGTTAGGTTAGGTGAACAGAAATTTTCGGTACAGAGAAGCAGTTCCCTATTGGATTATGTGTGTTAGTGTTTGTTCAGTGAATTGAAATTTTAGGTACGAAACAGACGCACCGAAAGTACCGAAAATAAAAGTACGCCGAATTTTTTTGAAATTACAGTAATCGAACACACTCGGTGTGTCATGTGACTCACCAGCACATAGGAATGTAGCAGATGCATGAGCTGCTCCACTCTGTGCATGAGGGCTTGGCTGTAGCCAAGACGATGGCCAGGACTCGCGGACGCTGCCGACTGGGCAATCTGGGAGAAGAACTCTTCTTCAACTGCCAGCCAGCACAATAGACACAGAGACAGAGACAGAAAGAGAGCTATAAAGTTATCCATACCTTTTTTTATTTAAATTCACGGTTAGCGTCAGACTCGGCTGGATGACGAGTTTTCCGCATCCGTAGGAACGCCACCACCCCTCAAGGATCAAGGCACAGATGCAGCTCCTGAAGAAGTGCTGGGGTATCCATACTTGAGCCAACAGCTTATAATTACCATGGTGCAAAGTCACGATTTCTTCCCTTTGGCGTGAACTCAGCCATGAAGACTTCTTCTGTCAACATTTTTGAAGAGGTAAGTTTGGTGTGAACAAATACGGCGTAAATATTCGGTGAGAATGACAAGTTTCATGGGATGAGGGATAATGTCTATGTGTGTGTGTGTGGGGGGAGGGGGGGGGGCGGGGTGATCCCGAGAAGACAAGATGCGATGGAAAGAACAGCGATGCATTGTTACTGCGCATTGAAGTTCCATGCAATACATCTCTCCACACACAGTCTTCCATCCATTGGTGTGGAAAAAGAATGAACAATGGCTGAATAAGTGAGCTCTAACTCTGCTTCAAGTATTCGTAAAAAAAAACTAGGAGAGAAGCCTCCAGGAAAAGTACGCACTTCAATGAGGAATGGGGGGGGGGTCTGTCAGCAGCAACAGCAGCAGCAGAAGCAAAGTAACAACAGCAGCAGCAACAGCAGCAACAACAGCAGCAGCAGCAGCAACAGCAGCAACAACAGCAACAGCAGCAGCAGCAGCAGCAGCAGCAGCAGCAGCAACAGCGACAGCAGCAACAACAGCAGCAGCAGCAGCAACAGTAGCAGTAGCAACAGCAGAGAAAGCAACAGCAGCAGCAGCAGCAGCAACATCGACAGCCACAGCAAGACAACTTACCGACGTAAGAAAACTTGCGACTAGGAAGGATCTCCTTGATGCCAAGGCTTGACGTGATCAGCTGGGTGAGGCGCCATTCCTCCTCCTGCGATAACCAATCACAGACAGTCAGAGAGTGTAGAAAACATTACGGGAGGGGGGGGGGGCAGTTAGCATGGCTTGGCATTGAAACACATTCGTCATTTATACAAAATCGTTTGGGACCCATTCAGACCGGTTTCGGAGTGGATTGTTTCAGCACTGGAATAGATACAATCCCCGCTAGGATTTGCAATCAATTATTTCTCACATTACCTTACTCAGTCTGAACACTCAGACATGGTCTATTTGCTGCAAGCGTCGTCCATCTAGATTCAACAAATTGTCGAGCACCGCGGCCCAACATCAGGGTGACACAGAATTCAAGTGTGAGTATTCTTGGACAAAGGTAACTGCATACGTGATCAAGGACTTACAAGTACTTGTCATCAACTACAACCCACTCCGTGTATCTGCTGGATTTGTTTCAGCAGAACGGAGGCTCAAAGCCAACTTCGAGTTTGCAACATCTGGGTTTTTGATCTGCTAGGACCTGCTGGTTCGAAGAAGGCCAGAGATCATCATTTTCTTGTTGGAATGGTTGTAGTTCCTGAATCACTCGCCCCACATCACATTCTACTGCATGAAGCACCAATAGGTATGGGCAAGAGTCCATAATGCCCCAGAGTGCACAACTTCACTGATCAGATCTGGGACGGCGAAGTCCGTGTTGCACGTCATAGTGTGACATCATGAGTAGGGGAAGTGTGTCCGTGGTGGACCGTGACGACGGGATGACGCAAGTCCGACCCAAAAAAATGACGTACGTCACGGACTACGCCGTCCCACAACCCCATCCCAGTTGCGCACTCAGGGGGATTATGTACTCTTGGTATGGGTAACCATGGTAATCACAGTAACCGTTGACAACGATTTCAAACCGGCCTCACCGTATCCCGTGCGGACGGGAGCAGCACTCCAGCCATGGCGGTGGTGATGATGTCCAACTCCGTGGCAAGCGGTGTCTTCTCGCTGCCAATGGCGGCGAAGCCACTGCCTTCCTTCGCGTGCAGTTCAATACGAGCCTCGGCGGCCGCCTGCAAGGCGCCGTACCAGAGCGAGGACAGACGAGCGCACGATGTGCCTGCGACGGAGACGTCGACGAGCGGAGGAGGGTCGCCGGTTACAGGCCGCGAGTCTGAACAGACGTGGACACAAGTATACATACATATACATACGCTATAATACATACATGTATGTATTATAGCGTGTGTGCACATACGCAAACACCCACTTGCACGCACGAACGAACGCACACACGCTACCACTATACGTGCGAACACACAAAAAGACGAGGTGCTAGTTTCTGATGAACTGACTGTAGACAAAAAGTAAAAAGGACCAAGGAACTACAAGTTACACTATAATGTCCACTAACACCACCAGTTACTAAACAATCAGCTCATGCGATAACATTGCACTTTTTACTTTTTATAATTTAATAATCCTTGGCTCTCCATCCGAGTTCAGACTGTAGACAGAACAACATACGCGTACATCACTAGCTGCAAGTCCTTGTCAACATGCATGTGTATCGAAAGCGCATGCCTGAATCAAGCGGAGTCCTGTCGTATCAGGACAGTTTCCGCTGCACCGAGGGTGTCCGCTAAGGCCGGGTTTTACTGCAAGTTTAAAACAACATCATACTCTTGTGGACATTGAAATCCGTTGAGAAGTCAAGCGGCCACGGGGTGCTGGCCTTGCAGCCGTGAGCACTGCTGGTCCATTTTTACAGTGTGTATACGTGCGGTACAATGCATGTACGCGCTAAAAGCAATAAGGGCGCCGGCCCCGGTCATTCCACCCGATTTCAATGTACACACAATTCTACTTACTGGAAGTGGAGTGGTTGAGGCGTGCGCACGCATCCGTCAGGCAGTGTACACGCTCCGCCAGCTCGGCCGCGTTATGGAAAGCGCTGCGAGCCAGCATGGACTCCACCTGCATGCGCGGATCCAGGGGCGGCACGCGCAGCGTCTCCAGGTGCGGGCGTAGCCGTGACGACGGGCCCGTCTGTGCCGACGCAAGGCACTTGGCCGACCTGCAGACGTCCACCTGCTTGCCGAGGAAGACGAACTTGTTCCAGCCGCGCTGCAGAGCACGTCGCAGCAAGTGCAGGAACTGCGCCAGCGTGTTAAGGAGCTGCGCCGTCAACTGGTCTACGTCACGCAGGTACAGGATGGATCCTGTTCGTGAGGGAAAACGGAAAGAAAACAAGTACGCATACGCACATACACACACACGTGCGCACGCACATGCGTACACACACAAACAAACACACACACACACACATACACACACACACACACATACACACACCATGGACCATGTATACTAGTACGCCTGTCGTACGAGAAGCACGGAAATCTGCAAATGCACTGGATGTGCAATGAAAAATGGGCTATTTGGGCCCAATTTTCCAAACACATTCCCGGGGGACAGCCCCCGGACTCCACCCCTGCCTTTTCATAGTCGCACCAATGTAGAATACGTTCCGACGCCCTTGACACCCCGGTGTGTGTGTATGTACAGAAGGCGGTACCCTACCTTGGCTTGACATGCCCTGCAGGTGGTTGATGAGTGTGTCGACCAGCAGCACGGAGTGGCATGGCAACACGTACAGCTGCTGGCCTTGTAGCCATGACAACATGTCCACACACTGGTCGACGGCCATAGCCTGACAGGGAAAGGGAAAGACGGGTCCGGATGTACACACACACACACACACACACACACACACACACACAAACACACACACACACACACACACACACACACATACACACACACACACACACACACACACACCATATGCACCTCATCAGAACAGCGGGTAAAATGCATACTGCTCTAGGGCTGCTGCATTACACATTACCCACTACTTTTCGTAGTTTGAGCACTCTGGCGCTAGAGCGACGAGCTATCTAAAATGTCTGTGGTGCCTCCTTTGCACCATGGCTGGCAACGCGGCTTGCTTAAAGCTCGTAGCTGCACTGATGAGGCATTTACAGCCGAAACAGCTTGCTGTCTACAGCATTGGATACTGTAAAAGAAGTTTTAAGAGTGGAACTTACATAGTATGTACCCAGGTGACACATACATAACATTCCCTCAACCCGGGAACCTTTGGATCCGTTGCATTATTTTCATGAAAAATTCATCAAATTCAAATTCGTTACTTGTAGTACTCCCTCGCTGATTTTTTTCCGTCTTATCTTTGTGCCTTGTTCATGATTGTATTTTCCTCTTCCTCCTTTTCTTATATCGCCACCTTCATCATTTTGCGAGAACTGTGGCAATACGCCCAGTGAGAAGGCAGATTTCGCCTGTGTTTCTTCTGGTGAAGTAAAATAAAGCTAAACAAACCAACAAACATGTACAGCTGCTTAGTGAGGTCGTTTTTTTCGTCGCACGGACTCTCCTCCCGTAAGCGCACAAACAAATGTGTGCGGATACGACATACTCTGATAAGAAGTACAACTCTTGCATGGCGAATTTTTCAGCAGATCCCGACAGAGCTGACCTTGCATACTGTGTTTGCTAACCTCTGCACGGCTAGCAAAGAGAGGACGTATGAACACAAGCTACCGTGTTCACCAACGTCGTGATGGCTGGTACCAAGAGTACACGGAAACCAGAGTGTGCAGCTCTGATGTGTTGCTGTCAGAATTCCGCGATAACATCATTTTAGTGATGTAGTGCGTGCAAGCAGGAATCAAGCAGGTCTCTTTCTGCACAACTGCAGCTCAGTTGTACGCACCACGCCACTTCCCGCCTCAGATCTGCGCCAAATATGATGTAATCACGGAATTCCGCCGTGACAGACACCCATAGCAGAGAAGGCCCCAAGCTGCACACTCTGGTTTTCATCTACTCTTGCAGGTACTTACGTCTCCCTGCAGTAGAAGTGCCGGTTTGCTGTGCAGTGTCTTAATGGCGTTGGCCACCGTACTTGACATGCTCGGTAACATGGGATGCACCACGCAAGAACCCAGGTAGTCGTAGGCCAGCGGCACACTTAGAAGACTTCCGCCACTGGTAGGGCTGCTCCCACTGCTGCTGCCACCACTGCTGCTGCTGCTGCTGCTGCTACCAGTGCCCCTAGTGGTCTCCTTGACCTGCAAGGTGAAAACCAAGAGAACAGTTTTCTAGAAAAACACAATTAAAAACGGCTATGATTAGTATCAACTGAGCACTCATGAAATATATACATGTATTACACAACAGAACAACAACGACAACCGAGGCTTGTTTGCTGCGACTTGAAGTTTCATGCTCCCGCAATCATCAGGCAACATGTATTATACACACTAGTACCGTATTTAAAGCGAGGTCGGAACAGTAGGGACCTTTCGCATTTGCTACGAAACGAATGCGAAACGAAAGTTTGATTCGGCTCGTAATCGTTTCGTTGAAAACAGATTTCAGGTTTCGCAAGTCGTCATGCAAATGTGCATGGCAACTACGAATACGGCCGCGGGCTCCGGTAGCTTGGCGTACGGGATTTTACACGCACACGTGCATGGATCATGGAATCAAGGGAAAAATGTGTACCTTGCAAAACATGTGTACCAATCCAAATAAATGTGTACCTGACGGATTCGGAGCGTGCCACGAATGAAGAGGCCTCCATTCGTGAAAACGAGTTCTCCGCAGGGACTCTGACGAATCCTCGAACCCAGGTGACGAATCAGCATTCGTTTCGTATCCGTCCGCGGGGTGCGAAAGGTCCCTAGTATTTCCAAGAACGTTCTCTTGTGATATTCATAAATTCATACAAAGTTGGTGACCTTGTCATACCGCCAGTGATGCGATATAAACGGCAAAATGGGCCATGCTCGGCTCGTCGTTGTGAAACAAAAATCGATCTCTAGCCACGGCCTGGCACTGTCCAAGGATGCAGTTGATGATCTACACAAAGTGAACCCGATGAGATTAGGGCCGTCAAAGTTGTGTAACCATGGCAGTGACAACCTAGTTGTACGTTGACTGTGAAAGTGCTGCTGAAAGTCACGTTTCGTTTTAAACATGGTATTGGTATTTGCGGACGGGACCTTGACGGAAATTTGACCAGCAAAAGGTGTGTATTTCGGCCTGGACATTCTTTCGTGCTCACCCAAATTCCATCATATCAACTTCGTCAAGAGTACATAACCCCCAAGAGTGTGCAACTCCAGCTATGGGGTCTGCGACGGTGGAAGTTCCAATCATGTGACAAACCCGTACACATTATTTGCACCTTGTGCATGATAGATACAGGGTTGTGCGGAACCCTGCTTTGGGCTCAACTCTCTTGTGGCCACTTTGCACTGTTTGCCAGCGTAACCTTTTGAACCATGTCACGTGACGTGAAGTTCTGCTGCAGTCGCAGCACTGTATATGAGGCCATGCAGGCAGTTGCACACTCTTGGGTTATGTTCTCTTGATCTTATGTATGTAAGTGTTACGTAGCTTTAACTGAACCAGATAACGCTGATGCCGGTTGAAACGAAAGTGATGCCGAGCGCACCGAACTCACATGCACGGTGACCTTTAACTCCTGACTGCCGTCTGACGTGCCGGGGAGTAAAGCAATGCGCTTGAACGACGATGGCAACTCCGCCGATGACAGTGTCTTCGCTTGCATATCCTTCGCCAGCGGCCCAGCATCGGTAGAGCCTGCTGAAGATCCCTGGTGTAGCAGATGTGTGAGTGTTTGTTTGTGCGTCTCGATCACCGCTAGGATGTTCATTATCTTGAGAACTTCGCCTTCACGAAAGCACGTGCACACACGAATATGCACGGGCGCACACATATGAGAACACACACATGCACACACACACACGCACACACACACACACACACACACACACACACACACACACACACACACACACACACACCCAGCGAGTTAGTTCAGCCAAGCGCATGACCGAGGCAGTCCCGTCATGATCCACACCCATCAGGAAAAGAATATCTAAATGCTTGGATACAAACGACCTTGAGTTACTAACAGTATCGATGCAAAATGTTAATGTGTGAATGAGATAGCGCACGGAACGAAAGCATTTCACGACCGTTCCCCACCGACCTAAGACCCATCAGGCCATCACATCACGTCACACATCAACACGGATAGTTTACCGTTGTACAGCCGTCGTTGTTGGTTCTTCCACGCCGCTCTGTCCATGCTGCCGTCCACGGTGCTGTTCTGCTGTCGCAGCATGCGCCCCGGAGCCAGGCTACGCATCTTGTCATGCCACTCCTGCATGGCGGGTAGCGTGGCCGAGCTCGCCTGGCTGTGGATGTACGGCAGCGCGTGGAGCAGACGCTGCTGGAAGGTGACGACGAACTTGCGGTGCTGCAGAAGACGCTTGTGGACGCCGTCCGCGCTTTCTTGGTCACTGCTGCTGCCCCTGCTACTGCCACTGCTGTTGCTGCTGCTACCAGTGTTTAGTATGGTGTCCAGCCGAGAGTCGAGTAGCAGCCGCATGGCTACGCTGGTGACCTGAGTGGGATGGTGCAGCAGTATGGTCTGCATCACCAGCAGCACGTCATTGGTCAGCTGGATGCGGTCGTCTAGCAGCCACACACCGCACAGACAGACGGACGGACACGCGGATGGACACACGGACGGACGGACACCGACAGACAGACGTACGGACACACGGATAGACACACGGACGGACGGATACCAGCAGACAGACAGACAGATGGACACACGGACGGACACACGGACGGACGGACACCAACAGACAGACACCGGCAGAACAAGAGAAAGAATTACTATTAGAGACAATAATTTGCCCAACAATTCACTCTTTGAATCAGTTAGACTTAGCTTTCGGCATCCACAGGGACCATACCATCCTCTAGGAGTAATGCGCAAAATTCACAAGAAATCGTGGAATTCACGCGAGTGTTCTCATACTCTGCATAGCAAGGCCTTGACTGGGCTGACCACTTTCCAGCCAGCCAGAGACGGACAGTCCCAGACGACTCACCTGCCATTTTGTCGGCCAGCACTCGATAGACTTCAGGCACTTTCTCCTTCAGCGTGGCTAGCGTGGAGCTGGCCAGCGACGGGATGAGATTGGAGCTGGCCGGGCTGCACAGGACAGGCTGCAGTGGGAGCGGAACCGAGCACAAAGCGAGCACGCACAAACACACGTTTCTTGAAACTCGAGGAAAGTCACAATGAACAGGATACGGAAACTCGGGAATGAAAGCGTGAAGTGTGAAGTCTGAAGAAAAGGTTCAATGGCCGCTGCTCCGCAATAGCATAGTGGTAAAGCATCGCTGGCCATAAGCCACCAGTACGGACGTACCAGTATGACCACCGGCACAGCCTACTAACACACAAAACAGTAAGCCAGCGCATGGTACTAATACTACCGTCAGACCTCGCTTATCCGCTCCTCTTTTATCCAGATCCCTCGCCATCCGGAAGAAAATCGTCGGTACCGATGTCATGCATACATGCGGTATGTGTGTTCGATTATCCGGTTCCCTCGCCTATCCGGATATTTTATTTGTTGAAAACAGATGTGTGCGGTTTTAAAGTGAGGTCTGACTGTATCAGCAATAACAATACCAGTGATTCACTAGTTGAGGGAATGCAGAACGGAAAGGTCTGAAGAAAATAATTGACTGTCCCCACCAGGACTCGCACCAGGGACCTTGGCTTGAGGTTCTAACCGAGCTATGGTGTACATGTAGCTGTCACCCGAGCAGAGACTGCTCAACAATTTTCTTCAGACGTCGAAACTCAAAATGCCAGTTGTACGGTAATATGCCAGTACAGTCAGACCTCGCATATCCGGATCCCTCGCCATCCGGAAGAAAATCGCTGGTTACCGATTTACAGCATATGCCATGCATACATATAGTATGTGTGTTCAATTGTCCGGTTCCCTCGCCTATCCGGATATTTTTTTGTAGAAAACGGATGTGTGCAATTATGCGAGGTCTGACTGTACTGCAACAGCACGGAGGACATCACAACTTACATTAATCAGCTGTAACTTCTCTCCGAGATGACTGATCACCTCGATGATCGAGCGGTGAAGCGGACATGACTCTCCTTCACCATCCGCACGATTGGCGTCACTGTATCCGCGTTGCGTGCCGCTAGAGCCCGCTCCGACGATCGCCAGTATGCGCTTCAGCGACGACGTCATTGCCGTCATATTGCTCCCGCTGTCCAGCGAGTTGCCGTGACGACTGTTGGCGTACTGCAGCGAGCCTCGACGTGCCGGGGGCATGGCCGAGTTTTCCCGGCTTTCTCGGCTGTCCACCGAGCGCACGGTCAGAAAGCAGGCGGGCGGAAGTAACTTGCAAATGTGCCGCTCCAGACGAACCGCATCGGAAGCTGAGGTCAGGAAGGCAAAGACACGGAGAGCACATTAGCGATGTTCTACTGTACGCTACAGGGAACGCGGCGTGGAGAATCCCGTGAACATCCTTCACGCTCCCTTAACGTAAACCTGCCCTGCTCTTACGTTGACATAAAGAAATCACGTGGAGTGTGTATTGGGAATTTCCCGTTCCCATTTTGGCAGTTTTCTGCCTGCATTCGAATGAACCCAGCAGATCAGCATGCATTTTCTTTGCGTGTGCCACGACGTAGAGAACCTTATCTCCGTGTAGATATCTGGACCCAAACACACACAAAGCTGTAGACTCTAACCCAGACACCTGTTCTCTACATGATTCCTCTGCGTTTCACGTATAGCAGAATCTCACTATTGATTCACATCTGGGTTCATCGCTAAGAAGAGATAGTGTTAGCCCTGTTCGGTCGCCCATGGCATGGTTGACTGATTCAACCTTTCCAACTAGCGTGATGCGGATAATTCTCGGTCTTCGGGAGAGATCGAAGCATGTGGGTCGAAGAGCAAACTCTGCTGCCGTCTTGAACTAACGTTACACTTGTCCATTGTGTAAGCGGCAGCTCCACTTCGCAATGCACTCTCGGCCGAAGAGTAGTAATATTTCCACTGAAACTCGCCCAAAGGGTGCCCGGTAGACCGTAGTGCCGGTAGCTTTGGGGTCCGGATACTGTAAAACATGTAATTTTAGGTGAATTTAAATTTCTGTATCAGGGACCTGCCAGGTTTCAGGTGTAATGTAGAATTTGGTGACCAGCGTTCCCTGCGCATACAGCTAGTGTATACTCCAGTGTCATTTAGGTGTAATCTAAATTTAGGTGCCTGGTTTCTTTACCGAATCACCGAAATTTAAGTTACACCGAAAATTACATGTTTTACAGTAACCGAGGTGTGAGTGTATATGGACTCCAAATATGCAAGAATAGAGTGCTGCCATGACAACCAAAGACCAATCTCCATTCACCCGCACGCAAATTGACGAGAGTGCTACTCACCGGACGAGACCAGGTGCAGGACGTCGCGGGCGCACAGGAACTGCAGCACCGGGAACTGGGAGCGTAGGTCTTTGACGTGCCGCAGCACGGCCATTTCACACAGCTCCAGCTGCTGATGGAGCTCCTGGAGCACCTCAGAGCGGCCTGAGAGAAGAAACAAACAACAAAAAACCCAATCAAGCAAAACCTCTACCGCTACATCCATATTAAAATCGTGATGCCCTCTAAGCAAGGATGAAGCATAGGGAGGACACTAAACTGGCAGCTGTCCGGTTGTTGATGTACAGTAAACCCTGAGTTTACCGGACCCTGCAACAAATGTAATCCTGTGCTGACGGGACACATGTTCATGCACCACAAGGTGCTGTGGATCGAAAGTGCATCTCTGGATCAAAGCGAAATCCTGTCATATCCGGACAGTTTCCGCCGCACCGAGGGCGTCCGGTTGTGGCAGGTTTTACTGTGCTGCAAGGGCACACCGGACTGGTATAGGTGTACATGCAGGTGTATGCAGGGTCCTCAGAAATGCTACTTTGTATCCCACTCCCGTACACGTATCCCACTCCCATAGTACCGTAATGCTGCGTATTAAACCCAGGCTTATTCGTGTAGAAGCCTGTGTCAGTGCTAAGCTTCTATTCAAACCACGTATCTCTATGTATGTCAACACTAAAATCAGGCTTATGTGTTGACAGTGTATCTTCAAAATCAGGCTTGTATTCAAAACAGGCTTCTATACAAGACAGGCTTTTATACAACACACTACAGTATGTTACTTCTTGCAGTATAGCCGGGGCACTTCATACAACTGTACTGAACCCTTTTCATAGCAGTACTCTTGATACTACAGTGCCGTAGGGTGCCAAAGAACTGGGGGGTTGAGCCGTAGCCTAGGCCGTCCTAATTTGTTCATGTACCAGGGGCGTCGGAAAGTATTTTAGTGTGGTACGGTCAGCCATTTGAAGTATAATTTACTCGTGGGGGGAGGGATGGCTGAGCCGAATATTTTGGAAATTTAGAACCCAGATCAGTGTATTTTATTGATTCACGAGGTACTGGGGGCAAATAGTGGTGCGGGCAATACCGTAGTGACTGTACCGTGTGCGACGCCCCTGAATACTAGGGTCTATGGACAATTGTGTCACCGTGTATATGATCACTGATCAGTATGATTGTCATGCCTGGTGAAATCCTTGCCCATTCGTTCTCCGACGTTACGTTCTTCGGCACGCCACAGTACTGTAACAGTCACGTTCCTCAGCAAGACGTCTCGTACTACGGCCGAGAACGTCACCAGCGTTCTCTTACAACACATAGCTCACCTGATTTGTGAGAGCAGTGGTAGATGTTAGCGTTGACCGATGCCTCAGCCATCAGCGACCGGTACTTGCGGTCGCAGGAGAAGAAGCGACGTGCGTCCAACGGCAACACCTGCACCACGGACGTGCTGGCGAAGATCTGCATACACATACACGCGCCCACACAAAACATGCACACACACACACGGGTATGCGCACGTGCACATAATGCTATAAGCCCATTGCGGATTAATGAACAAATACGGAATGCGTGAGTAACGCATGTGAGTATGCTGGGATAAGCTATGCACTGTTCCACATCCCCACACAACTAAACCATAGGACAACAATGTACTGTTCAACACCCTACACACAACCATACCCAGGCAGCTGTGTGGGGTGTTCTAAGGGTACGAGTTACGTCATTGCGCAATGAGCGTATAGCATTCATCCGTATACCAATGCTGAGCATCTTACGTCTTCCAGCTCGTCCCAGATGGCCTGCGCGCGCATCCACAACCGGACCACCGTCTCAATGGTCTGCAGCCGACGTTGCCACTTGACAAAGTCCTCGGATAGCGAGGCAGTGGCGGAGCGTGAGAGTAGCGACTGTCAACATAATCATGATGTCAGACAGTGGAGGAATCAGCCAGAGAAGAAGAAGGAGAAAAAAACATTCAGTCACAGCTCTGGTTGCAAGTCAGTCTTTGGGCAGCAACAAAAAGAACAAAAGCAAAGTTCTGTACAACATGAAAATAATAGTTCTCGGGCAATACCGTCGCTTTCCAGTAACATATTCGTCCCTATGATGCCCCCCCCCCCTCCTCTCTCTCTCTCTCCCTCCCTCCTCCTTTAACCAAACGTGTGCCATTGAGTTCCATCAAGAATGGTCACACAAGTACACCGTGTTTCCAACCTTCTACCCTCGCACCTAGCCCGCAGCGTAGCAATTCAATACCGAGGCTTGTGAAAGGAAAGAGTGGGGTGAGTTCAAAGCTCATCCAGTGATAATTTCACTGAATTTCTTCAGCGTGATTCGTAGATTATAATTCATACTGACAACAACATTCACATTTTCAGCAGAACAGACTGACACTGGTGCTGTTGCCGACGGTGTCTCAGCAATGGCCGGACGATCTTTGAGTCCAGCGTTCTGTGTCATAGCACAGTACAACCTGCCAAGGCGACCACTCGGATAAGTTGACCACCTGTCCCAGACGACCACTGTAACCAGGATCAAGGGATGCTATTTCCACACAAATGACCCTGGATAAGGAGACCACCTGGTAACAGAGACCCGGTTTTGAAAGTACCTTGAGCGGTCGTCTTAGACAGGTTTCACTGCACAGAAATCAAATTCTGACTACATGCTCAGTATTGAGGAGTTGTCTAAAAGGTCCTCAGGCTGCGTACAGTGCTCTATGTACAGTGGACAGAGCCAGTAACACAATGATCACACAACAATGTCTCAACCATGTTCTTCAAGTTTCCGCCGCTACTCAGAGAGAGAGAGAGTGCTCGCTAGTATTAAACATGACCTCTGTGGACCTCATCAGCACTGTACCATTCCAATGGCCCCGCACATTAATTTTTTTAAACATTTTGTTATACTATGTGCACATCCCTACAAAATAATAGGGGTAATGAAAGAGACAAAGACAAAATGCAAAGACAACAAAAGAGTAGTTGGTGCTACAAGAGCTGTGCTGGTTAATGCATGCATAACATACGTGATGGCTCTCCAGGGTCTCAAAAATGCTCTCCACTTCCAAGATGACCACCACGGGCTCCTGCAATGCACACACACACACACACACACACACACACACACACACACACACACACGCACACACACACACACACACACACACACACACACACACACATGCACGCAAAGAAGACCAAGTGCTGTCAGAGCACCGTTGCAAAGCAATCATTTCACGCTGAAGGCAGCAGCATCCTATCGGAGTCGTGTTCAGGTGACTGACAACCAGCATGTACTTTATCCAAGCATTGGTGGTTCAGTGGTAGAATCCTCGCCTGCCTCGCGGGGGGCCCGGGTTCGATTCCCGGCCAATGCATATTTTTACTATCATAATTTTTTTAAGTGCGAAATCACACTTCAACAGTGTGTATATGTTTGTAAATTGTAACCACAGTGTAACCACAGCGCTCTGCAAACATTAGCCATCGTAAACTCTCTCTGGTTCTGATGGATTGCGAAAAATTAGCGACATCAATCTTGGGTGGTGGGAGGATCAATTCCCGGCCAATGCACTTTTCGCTGTCATCCTATTTTCCAGAGAATTGACTGGCCCTGCTGCTTACCGATAGAGGTCCAGCATTGATTGAGCAGCTTTCACCAGCATGGCTGATTGTTTTGGAATAGGAAGGTGGCTTCACACTGGTGGCTTTACGCTGCTGACCACGCCGATACGCACTTCCCAGGGAACTTCTCGCCGAAGCCTGTGTGCACGAAGAGAACAAACATGGGCTGATAAGAACGTCGACTGTACTGTATAGTTTTAAATAGTGCCTGTCGTATTGTCTGTCTCTGTAATGTCTCTCTCTCTCTCCCTCTCCCTCTCCCTCTCTCCCTTCCCTCTCCCTCTTCAAGTGGAAGGGCAGACAGACAGTTAACAGTTAGGCGGGCGAACATATGGGTGGGCTGGCCGGACAGACAGACAAGCAGCCAAAAGAGAGAGGAAGAGGAGAGAAACGCGATAAGAGCTAGCAGGATTGCAAACACACAAGTACTTACCCGCGGGGCATTAGAGCGTCTGTTTCGCGTGCGCAGGTGCGTGTTGAAGTTGCGACTCAGCCACACGCTCTCCAGGACCTTGATGACGTCTTCCACAGCGACTTCCTCTTCAGCCTTGGACACTAGAGCAGCGAGATCCGACGGGTTGTCTTCACGTCCAAACCAAATACACAATCAAAACAACGGAGAAATCAAATTATCACCACAGCACTTCAGACTTTTAGGCACGCCAGGAACAAAATCCGCACCGCCCTCTTGCAAAAAAGCGGAACAGACCGTTGCAGAGCATGCAGGTAAACTCCATTTTCAAGTATTTCGCTTGCCGTTGGGTGAATCCAGCTTCATTTTCATAGAAGGTGAATTTTGAGATGAGACAAAATGCGTTTTGAGTCTTTTGAGAGAATGCACTTTGGAGTCTTCGGCATGTATTTCGGTCTGGATTTTATTTTGTGATAACTCGAAATTCGTCTTATGCGCATTAGTGCTAGGCGGATTTCCCTGTGTGTTGGACCTTGAACGAAGGGTGCTGATCAAGCTACGTCTTCAGACTGCTGTTGCTCAGCATCAACGTGCGTGGCCTGGTTTTCTAACTCCCGGCACATTCAACATCCCAATACAGTAAAACCTGGTGTAAGCGACCTCTCGTTTTAGCGACCACCTGCTCTTAACGACCGTTTTTCCATGCACCGACAGTTCTACACTTAACCTGTGGGACCTGGTTCTAAAGACCACCTGACTTTAACGACCGCTATTGTTTGCACCGTGGGGTGGTCGCTTAAACCAGGTTTTACTCTATTCTCGTAATCTAGAGTAACGGATGACCACTACGTGGCCGGAAACAATCTGAAAACTTACACAACTCCTTGCCCTCGTCCAAGTATGGTTCTGAAAATACGGCAACAGAGACAAATGCGCAAGTGCACACACCACAAACACAGAAGACTCGTGTCAACAACACGTTTCAAACCGTATGATAAGAAAGCCTCAAGTTCCCAAAACAGCACTCATTACACGCCACCCACTACCAGGCAGCGTACCGTGCAATCGTAGGCGCATCAGCTCTCCCAGCGTCACTGTGGGAAGCTGTTCGGGCATGAGCTGCGGCTGTCCGTGCACAAAGCGCACCACCTGCTTCCAGTGGCGGAGTCGCATTGCCGAGCTGCCCAGCTTCTGCATGATCGGAATGGTTACCTGCGTGGACAGCGCAAAATACACAGAAAAACCACGAGTTTGACCGTGAAGAAATCGGGTTCATAGCAACAAAACCAGTTCAAATAAATGAGTGGATATACTTCATTGATGCACGCACACTACAGGACTGCCGGAAGCAGTTTTCGGTTGGTCCGGGTACTTTCAGTGCTTTTTACACATTTTTTTCTTTTTTTTTACAAGAGTCTCAAACCATCATGGTGCAAACGCCGGCAAAAACGCACAGAGATGCACATAGCGATGGCAGCCGAAGCAGTCGAGGCGGGGCAAGAGCAGCTAAACCTTTGTTTATGATAAAAGCGGGTACACATGACCTCTGTAGTAGTAAACATGGTGTTGTTGGCTAACGTTGGTCCGGTGATAACCTGACCAACCGGATCGGTTCCGGCAACCCTGCAATATTACTTTTCACATCGGCAGCGTATGAGTCTAGATCGGAGTCACCATCGCTTGATTCCTCAGAACAAACAGATTGATCAAAGTCACGACCTTTTTTTTGTTTCCGGTAATATGTATAAAGGAGTCTTACCTTCACCGCCTCCACATGCTCCAAGAGACTGTGGTACAGCGCCCATTTCTCCACGCGGTTATCTAACTCCTTCAGCTTATCAACTTGCCCGTCAAGCAACGACATGATTTTGTCACATTCCAGAGAGCTCCACTGCGTCTCGCGCCACTTCAACTGCTCCTTGAGAATGTTGCTGCAAGACAAAACAGCGGAATAGACCGTTGCAGAGCAAGTATGCAAGGTCAGATGCTGCAGCAGGGCTGTGTCCACATCCCATGTACATACCCTATTGACCCATATTTATGCCCATGTGTTTTAAACACAATTGTAACTTGGAAATTGTGGGCACAAGTTATGCGATCGAGTCCACCAACTAAACCAGATTTTGAACAGTCAGACGTGCACAAGGTAGCACAAAACTGGTTTAAGTGGTGGACTCGATCGCATAACTTGTGCCCGCAATTTCCATGTGACAATTGTTTCCTTGGCTCGCCATCTGAGTGCTTAACACTGCTTATATGTAAGTTTTGCCTTATTTGAATTGTTTGCACCCTGGGACACGGAGCTGCTTAACTCCTCACGACTGCACTGATGGACTGTGTGTGCATAGTACTCACTCAGCCACTTCCCAGAGCTCATCCAGGCTGCCCAGGTCCAGCTCGCATTCGGACAACACCTGGAAGTTGACAACGGACGTTTCCAGCAGGTCTTGGTAGGCCACTTGGTCCTATGTACGGTGTGATAAGAAGACGTGCCGAGAAGACACACATACGCGCACACGCACGCACGCATACACACACACACACACACACACACACACACACACACACACACACATACATGTGCACACATACACACACACACATACACACACACATACACACACACACACACACACACACACACACACACACACACAAACAACACAGATTCAGGATAGTTTCCGCAATATGGATCTGGGGCGGAAAGCAGGGAGTTGTAGGATTTCGGGAGGTGGCACTAGACCATCGTGATAGAGGTGATGTGCACTTCAACCTCGGCTTTAGGATGGCGGTATACATGATCTATGGTCTATGAAACTTACGATCACAATCACTTCCTTGACCCACTAACACCAGACGCAACCCAGACATGCCATGCCGTGAGCGAGCATGCAGTGGCTGCGTTCAATTATGCACTTGAATCGATTCATGAATCCACTCGCATGCATTCAAGTCGTTCGATTTTCATGTCACGAGCCCTGGATTCTGCTGGAATCGATTCGGAATCCATTCACCCTACCAGTATTCACATGGGGTGATGTGAATAGCATGATTCATGAATCGATTCGCGTGCATAATCGAACGCACTCAGTAATCGACTCTGTCCCCTAAGCAAGGGGCGATTGGAACGGACAGAAGAAGAGTAAAACTCGCATCGTTTCACATTCCCCTTGCCGGTGCCGTCTCACATACACTCCCGGACTCCCTGGTGGACAGGTGAGAATGCTAATGGCAAAGTCAGATACTGTGTGAGGACCTTGCCTGCTCCGAGAAGCCAAACGGTACCAGGACATGATTCACACATGTACAAACACTAAACCAAAGACACTAAGTATATACCTACATGTACGCCATACACACCAAGGCATACCCGGCGGCTCCACCTCTGGCTAGAGGGATGACACTCGTGAATCACATTCGCACAGGAGAAGAATGGGAACTCAAAGTACAAATTCATCCTCAACACGCACACACACACGTTCGTGCACGCGCACACGCACGCAGGCACGCAAGCACATACGCGGGTGTGCGCGCACACCATTGGACCATTGGACCATTGGACGCCCATCACCGGAGCGATGATAGCGATGCTACAGCAGAAGCCATAGCAGCTTGTGCTGGGATTGCACTATTCAACAGCTTGCAAGGCTGAAGAATTGACCGCCACTATTCAGCCTGGTCTACACCACACAGCTATGAAGTGGCTTTTTCTGGCCAGTGAATCCCTACTTTTTGGTCTTTTTCATTTTTTTTCACGCACACACATCACACCACATACTCCGGCATGCACTGGCTGCTGGTAACCACCCAGGAGAATGAAAGAAAAGTCAGGAGGAGTCTGAGAAAGAGAAGAAAGACGTGTGTGACCATAATTGTCGGGAATCGAACCCGCAACCTATCGATTGGAAATCGCTGCACATACCACTGCACCATATGGGACACACACACACACACACACACACACACACACACACACACACACACACACACACACACACACACACACGCGCGCGCGCGCGCGCGCGAACACACACACACACACACACACACCGAACATTCAGCTTACGGTGGATTTCTCCTGCAGGTTCTTGAGCTCCTGTCTTAGCTCCGCAATCAGGTCCTTGGCTTCATCTGAAGAAATCGTCAGAGTTGTCGCTTTGCTTTCTTTGACACGCTGAACTAGATTGTCGCAAAGATTGCTGAACTCTTTCAAATCCTGCAAGCCAAAACAGAACCAAGACGCTTTCATCAATAAACATAGGCACCCCCTGACCAAGTCCCCAGGGAGGAAAATAGAGAGACACGGTATTGGAATTGAGCTGCAACGTCGAACACCATAGTGGTGATGGAAGTAGTACACTCATATCCCTCTTATGAGCTCACTAATTCTCGCTCCACATATACTGGCACACACAGAGACATAGACAGCAATAGCGACAGCACACAAAGTGAAGGGTAGTTGGCCGCAGCCAGATGTGAGACTCAAAACTGACTGAAGAAGTCAGGAAAAGAAGCGACAATAAAGAACACACCAGATGCCATATTTGCAACTGAAAATATTTCGCGAGAAATACAACTGCTGTCTGATGAGTGTGAGCAACGGCAAAGAAAGACTTGGTTGTGTAATTGCTGTGTGAGCAGCAACTAAGTTTCGGCTCAGAAAATGCAAATCGAGCAGCATTGAGGAAAGGCTTACAGAAAGCCTTTCCAATACCTCTCTTAACCGGACCTCAAAATTGCGGGTACCTCGGTCTACTGGGCGCTCTGTGGGCGAGTCTAGGAAATAGTGACACAATACGCCAGATCTCTGGCCCTTCTCCATGGAAACGGTTGTGATTAAGAGTTAAGGACGTTTCAAAGAAGGAGACGAGGAGGAGGAGGAGGAGGAGGAGGAGGAGGAGGAGGAGGAGGAGGAGACGAGGGGGAGACGAGGCGAGTGGGAGAAGAGAAGTGGAGAGAATGGGGAAGGGAGGGCATGGAAATTCTCCTTACCCGCATAATACGACCGCTGCTCTGACGCATTCCAGGACCAATCTTCTGTTTGGCCAGCGACATCTTCTTCTTCAGATTGGCAAACCTGAAGACACGATCACGGGCAGAGAAGAAAAGAAAATTGAGAGAGAAAAGAGAGAGAGAGTGTGTGTGTGTGCACGTGCGCGTGTGTGCATGCGTGTGTTTACGCATGATTGCTGCCTGCAAGCATATGTGCATACGCCAGTGAGCGAGGTCAGACTCGCCGTAAACCCTGGTGAATAGAAGGAAGAAGTGGTGAAAAGAGACAGGATGCCCGGGATGCACAACAGCAGGGTGGCGTCGCAAACGTAACGTATCAATAATCCAGTGTACAGTAGAACCTGGTGTAAGCGACCTCCTGCTCTTAACCTCTCCTTAGCGACCGTTTTCCATGCCCCGACAGTTCTACACTGAACCTGTTGGACCTGGTTCTTAAGACCACCTGGCTTTAACGACCGCTTTTGCTTGCACCGTGGGGTGGCCGCTTTTTTTTTTTTTTTTTTTTTTTTTAAGAACACAAACCTACAAAATCATGTTGAAAGACGAAAAGTACATTAGACTGGGTAGGCGCTATCCACAGTGCCAGTTAATAGCTGTGCTGATGAAATACATGGACTCTGCCGACCATGGGTCGCGGCGTCACAGTGCAATTTACTCATAAGTTTATACTAAGCCAACATAAGAAAGTGACTAAAGACAAAAAGCTTAAACCAGATGTTACTGTATGTCAGTAGGTGTACTGACCGTGATGGGAGGGTTTCGAACATGGCTTCCGCCTGCGCCGTCATGCGATGGTCGTGCTTGTGCAGCAGAGACACGGCGCGGTGCACGGCGGTGAACATCTTGTCCATCTCCAGCTGCTGAACGGAGACCTGTGTGGGGGTGTGGTGCGGAAAAGAACCAGAGGGTGTGTGTGTGTGAGAGTGATACGGGCAGCACCCCAAGCAACAACACAAACAGCAACAGCACAACCAAGAGTACAATCATAACCCCCAAGAGTTTGCAACTCCCACATACCCTGCTGGCCCGACAGAATTTCTAGTTGACGTCATTTTTATGATGCAATGGTCAATGCACCAGTGATTCACGACATTTGTACGGGGTGTCAACACATCACACGTTTTCCTTGACCTAGTTTGTACAGGATCAAATGGAGCTTTGTCCATCACAGGTTCGGATACGTCTGATAATGCGCGTACAGTGCGCATTGCGTCATAAAAATGACGTCAACTTGAAATTCTGTCGCGAGTCTCTCGGGACAGCACCCGTAGTCGAGTTGCACACTCTTGGGTGTGTGTGTGGGGGGGGGGGGGTATGTACTTTTGGTACAACCATAATTACTGTATGCTCGTGTAGCGCCAACCCTGCCCGTACACTTTTAGAAGTAGATGTTAACTCCGGTCCAATCAGCTTTGTCTCCCTATTTCCCCCCTTTTTTTACAAAATAGCCACAAACCATCATGGTGCAAATGGCGGCAAAAACGCACAGGGATGCACATAGGGATGGCAGCCGAAGCAGTGAAGGCGGGGCAAGAGCAGCTCAACCGACCAGGGGCCTCGGTTTCAGCACTGCCCAAACAGAAAAAATACGAAGTGAGAAAAATGAGCAGGTAACACCCTCCTGCACACTTCATCTTTTATTGGCTGCAGGGCATCGTGAGAATAGAGATTTGAAACAGCAACAGCCGGCAGAACAGCAGAAGCACCAGTAGCCAACATACATTGTAGAAGAAGCAGCAGCAGACACAACAGCCCGTGTGCCAAAGACCGAGCAGACTCGGATGTCACCAAGTACAGCAGACGGATATTAGATAATTATAAGATGTATTTTTCATTGCTATCAGGTTCGGCCTCATTTTCTCTGTGCTGCGCTGATGAGTCCACAAATGATGAAACAGTTCTGTCCGCAGATTGAGTAAGATAGGGTGACACAACTGCACATAGGCTGTAGCACGTGAAAAATTAGAACAAACTAGAATGGCAGCTACTGGTCACCCACCTCATTGAACGCCAAGATGAGGTTCATGAACTCGACCGAGTTTAGCTCCTCACCGCTGACACCCTCCACAACCGGCTCCACACGTGTCAGGAAGTCAAAGAACTCGCCCAGCCAGCTGTCGCACTGTAACAAGAACAACAGAGAAGACACACACAGTTCAGCACCACAAGACAAGGGGGACCATCAACGGCCACCTGAAACATCCTGGCGGTGGCATTCTTTGAGTTACTGTATAAGCAGAAATATTCGTCTGGAATTTATTTTCGTCTTTTTCGTCCAAGGAGCGTTTGGACTAAATTAAATGTAGGACGAATATCGATTTGTCCAGCTTTTCTATACACTCTTATGATCCATGGACGAAATTTTCAACCGGACGAACTCCTTTTCTTTGGAGTTGGACGAAATTATTGACCGACGAAATTTTCTGCCTCTACAGTCAGTATACCGAGTCTGTCCCCCCCCCCCCCAAGGTTATGTACAATGGTAGTGCCTTTGCTGTTTGCATTATGCAGAGCTCACTGGCTTGTCAGTTTGAGCATTCTGGCAAGGTACGTTCGGGCCTGATTTAAATCTGGCTTTGGAAATTTTTAAATTTATTTTTCATTGCTATCAGGTTCGGCCTCATTTTCTCTGTGCTGCGCTGATGAGTCCACAAAGGATGAAACAGTTCTGTCCGCAGATGGAGTACAATAATATCACCGTACATGCTATGGATAGGGAGGGTGTGCGAATGATGTCATCATAGCAGGTGCTGGTGCTGGAGCTGGTGGATGGGGGGGGGGTTGTCAGTGCCACCTTTACCTTCTGTGTGAGGTATTCCTTGTAGCTATGCAGCCATCGTGAGCACAGAACACGCAGGCACAGGATCAGCGTTGAGAGGTCCACACGAATCCAGCCGTAGCGCAGCGTCTGCTCCATTCCCGTAATCTCCTCCAGTGCTTCCTGAAACCAAAGAAGAAAAAGTTCACACGTTCGCGATACCACCGGCTATACAATTGTGTTCAAGAGCACAACCAGCTTAGGAAGTTTCGATTGTGTCAGGCCTGGTATACCAAGGACTAAGGACCACGTGGTCCGTGAAACTAAGGATCATGGTAAAAACAGCCAATGAACATGGTGAGTAAAACTACAATGCTTGCCGAAGAAGAAGGACAGACTTCAGGTTCTGGAACAACAATTTTGAAAGTTTGGGAATAAAACTCAGAGATTCTTCTTTCAAAGAACTCTCACGCTCCAGTGCAGTGTGCTCCTTGCACTCCTAAAATGTCCGTTCTCCGCCCCACGAACACGCTCACCTGCATTAATAGTTCACCCATTGGGCCTGACCAGAGCATTGAGTGCGAAAAACTCACGATGTGTCATGTAAATCCAGGAATATTTGACTTTCAATATTTCATACTTTCAGCTTGCAGTACCATTCATAAACACAAACTGCTCCCGGGCAGAGAGAATGAGCGTTGGCAATATGAGTGATTTGGGTAACTTTCTTCATCTGACAAACACGCATGCAGAAACTGAATAATCCCGCTACTCGCCTCATAGCGATTCATTTCCTCCTCAAAGTCGTCCAGAAACGGTGTTGTCTCCTTGTCGAAATCCTCAGAATCTACGCAGGAGGCATACACAGCCGGACACGTGAATGCAGAAATGCTTAACTGGTCATTTGCAGATCACAGTGATAATGTATTAGCGTCGTCATGAACTGGGTGGATTTCTGTTTTCCGAGGAATGGCAATGAAGATAAAGATGCGGGCAACAACAATGATAGATGCTAGAGTGGAATGTATAAGCTAGGTTATCCAATGGTGGGTCGATTTCAGCCAATCAGCGGCCGTTCTGAGCGGGGTATATTCAGCGATTTTTTACCCCGCTGGGTAGGTTCAAAGATGCACCCCGCTCGGATCACATGGATCATGCCAAGAGTAAATAAGGCAACTTTAGCATGGGTAACACTCTATGTTTGGGAGGGCGCCATGGGATATTTGGACCATGCACACGCAAAATTTACCTTGTGCTTACGCACTCGTGAAAATATTCGGCAGTAAGCCAATTGTGCTCATGGTATAATCCATACATCTTACATGCAATGAGACGCTGCTCTCCAACACCCATCAATCCAGACATGCCCAGGGAGGATTGCGGACGACCGTCAGACCTGGAAACACACGCAAATGCGCATACAGACACACACACAGACACAGACACACACACACGCACACACACGCACACACACACACACACACACACACAAACAGATGAACCCGCAGGCACATACTAACCCCCACCTCCACAGTCCACACACTGCACAAGCAGAAGCAAAAACAGGCAGCCACCAGAGCATGTGTAACACAATACTAACTCAAATCTATATGCACAGCGGTAGCAAATGAAATCCAACCCCACGGAAAAAGCAGAGCCGCGGCACACTACACTGCCCACTGTTGATAGTGCTTGTACTGTGCAGTCCCAGGTCTGTTCTGCTCTCCACTGACTCCAGGTTGGATTTCAAATGCCAGCACTGTGCAGTGACTGATAACGTACGAGTGCAGCGATGCTCGGGAACGCACAGCCTGTGACGGGGTCCGCGCTCGACTCGCGTCGGAGCGAGGCAGCTTGCCGGACACAAACTGCTCGACCGTTTTGAAGACGGAGCGGTTCCACAGGAACGAATACTTCTCCAACTTCTCCTTGACCTCCTGCACTCAGAGGAAAGAAACACGGGTCAAACGAAATAACGTTACGTACATCTTCCCTGAACAAGAGCTTCCTGACATTTTTATTCGCATTTATATGGAGCTACCGCGGTCAAGAGATTAGGTTCAATGGAAGAAAAACACCTCAAGGCAATATGTGTATACTGTAAAAGCCATTATTCTAACGAGGCGCATATATAACGATTTCCCAAAATTGACTAGCTTACGTGTACCAAAGGTAACGATTCTCACTCATTCTCAACGCTCAATAGGACAGTATTACCGTATATTCTCTATTATAAGCGCCGTGCTTCTATTTTTTCAACACCCCTCTACCCCGTGCTTATATTGGAGACCGTGCTTATATTTTTTCAACCAATACATCCATACAGAGCAAGAAGAAATACATGCTAGGTATCATGCATGCAGCATTGATTTCCACCAAGACCATGCTAATAATGGAGACTGTGCTTATAATGTTTCGAAAGGTGCTCACAGTGTGCTAGTATTAGAGACTGTGCTAGTAATGGAGACCTGTGCTTATAATAGAGAATATACGGTATGTATCGATTTCTGTATAACAATTTTTATTTTAACGACAGATTTCTCCTCGTTAACTCGTTAGAGTTAGCTCTTCGTTATATGGCTTTTACAGTATATGCTTTGGAATATGCACACTACAGTCAGACCTCGCTTACCCGTACACATCCGTTTTCCACAAAAATACCCGGATAGGCGAGGGAACCGGATAATCGAACACACACACTGTATGTATGCATGGCATATGTTGTAAATCGGTCACCAACGATTTTCTTCCGGATGGTGAGGGATCCGGATAAAAGAGGACTGGATAAGCGAGGTCTGACTGTATTATAGAAAAGCAAGTGGCGCTGTTGAAGTCTCTCTCAGAGTTGCCATTCCTCAATTACTATTTGTATTTGTATTTATGGATCCTCCACAGGCCTTAGCCTAAATCGAGGGAGTCTCTGATTTCTATGAGCTCGATTCACCAGACAGGGGCGTCGGACACGGTACGGTCACTACGGTATTGACCGTACCACTGTTTGCCCCAAGTACCCTGTGAATCAATAAAATGCACTGATTTGGGCTCTAATTTCCCAAAAATTTCGCCTCATCCATCCCTCCCACACGAGTGAATTGTACTTCAGATGGCTGACCGTACCACACTAACTTACCTTCCGACGCCCCTGCCAGAACTCACGGGTTGGTCGAGTCACACAGTTTTTGTTTCCATAGGATGCACTGTACTGCACCGGATTGGTTGGCCACAGACATGAAGCAGTCACTTGTGCATAGAGAAAATCCTCCATGGATCTATCGTATCGGAAATTGCGATTTTTTCTCGGATTTTCAGTATAGCTGAGTATGGGACTGTATAAACGATCAAATGTCGTTCACCCTCTAAGCATGTGTGTGTGTGTGTGTGTGTGTGTGTGTGTGTGTGTGTGTGTATGTGTGTGTGTGTGTGTGTGTGTGTGTGCGTGCGTGCGTGTGTGCACGCGCGCGTGTGCGCACACCTGAGCGTGCGTGTAAGCGTGTGGGGTGGTCGTGATGGTAGTTGGGGGGGGGGGGGGGGGGAATTGCTACTCCTTGTGTGTGTTTAGAGCATGTTCACACGGTTCAGCTATCTACACACAAATGCATACAGTACCTGAGCATCCATGGGCCACCTCGTCAATAGGTCGTCGATGCAGTCCTGCAGCTCATCAATCTCTCCGTCATCACTGGACACCGCACTGAAATCACCCTGTTGAAGCAGAGCAGAACACATATCAGCCAACCATACAGATGTCCGGTACTCACCCGGAGGATGCACTCAGCCCCTGCATTCTCACACAGCTTTTCGTACAGCACTACAAGATCCACCCTCTCCTGGCATATATACCGGCATGGTCGGCACCTCATCATCATGTTGCCTGATGATTGTGAGAGCAGGAAACTTGAAGTAGCAGCAAACAAGCCTTGATTGTCCTTGGTGTTCTGGATGTCCGGTACTTACAAAATTGTTGAGCAGGGCCGGCGCAACCAGTCCCACAGGTCAGGCCATGGCCGGACCACCTCTTTGGCCACCATGACACCATGTGTTAACTGCTGAGAGGGGCATGTGGAGGTACCCGTCATATCATACACAAACTGTACGAACAGCTATGGTATGGCTATGGAAAACCCTACACACACCATTCTGGTCTCTCAGTGGCGGATCCAGGGGGGGGCCCAGGGGGCCTGGGCCCCCCCTTTGAAAATTTCGACCTTGGTCTAGGATTACAGTACTGTCAGTAGACTGTAGAATGAGCGCTCGAAAATTGACTTGCCGTGTCAAGTGGGTCACGCGTGCTACGTACTTTTATAAGTGTCCCGGTGTCACGCACTGTACTAGCCAGCGCGCTGTGTACAACTACTGTACGCACTGCGACCTGAGGACACGGCCGCACTTCAAACATGTGAAAAACGTGCCAAAAATGCAGGGCCTGGTGCATAGTGCAGCGATCGCGTTGGGCTGAAGTCCTGTATCATATTCATAGTGTATGGTGCACGGTGCTGTCGACTTCGTCCTTCCTTTTTTCTTTTTCACTTGTCAGAAACTATTACGCTCTCTCTACTTCGCGTGTAGCCAACGGGTTTACCTTCAGATATGCGAAGAAGAGGAAAGGGTCTGACATCAGGTCGTTCTTCAGTGGACCGGTAGATAAGAGAGTTCGCGTTGAAGAGCCGTCCAAAGGTCCCTCGCAGCCGCTGTCGAGTGGAAATGTTCCAGTGCAGTTTGAAAATGTCGTGAGAATGGAATAAAACTAGGGACCGGCGGATTCTGCTCGAAAAGGTGGCATATTCTGCTCGAAAAGCAGTGAAATTGGCAGAACCATACAAACCTCCATTTTTTTTATCCACATACCAAACATGCATGAAACTTACCAGAAAAAGTACCGAATTCTGCCAATTTTTCTGCCGGCAGAATCCGCCGGACCCTAAATACAACAGCTCTTCACAACTTCAGGACTTTGTTGTTGTTGTATTTGTTGTTTTTTTTGGGAAGGGGGGGGGGGGAGGACGGATACCTTGGGCCCCCTCTTCGGCCAAGTCCTGGATCCGCCACTGTCTCTGGCATGGCTAGACCAATCAAACACTGCTTCCGCCGAGTCCTCTGCTTCTCAATGCTCAGCACTGACAGCAAGTCAACAACGAGATAAATGTAGGTTGGGGATGACATTTGTATCGGAGGAAACGACGCAACCCACATTCTAGCAAAACTTGGATTCATACTCCGAAAGGAAACATATTTGAAGTAAGTTTCTTCACTCACCTCAGACGCGACGCATGTGACACTCGCCGGTCTCTGCAGGATGTCGCGCACCCAGGCTAGCATCTGCTCCTTGACGGACAGCAAACTCCACTCCTCCGTGATCGGCGGGTCCCAGTGCAGTGACCCGCCAAGAAGGATGAGCTCGACTTTCAGGAACGGTTCCTATAGCAACGCAGTCAACGGAAAGACAATGCAGCGTGCAAACATTTTACTGTAGAGGCACGAGAGTGGAGGAATACTTTCAATAGGACAATAGGTCAGAAATTGAGAACCTCAGAGAAGTACGAAGGATGATATGTCTTCTCATTAGGGGTGTCAACGAGTAGTAGGGTACCCGTGTTACCCGTAATTTGATCGGGTAGTAGAGTAGCAATTTGTTCCTGAGAACCCGATCGGGTAGTTGGAGTACGGTGTTTTTGCAACGGTGCATGTAAACAGCACGGCTACGTGCATATTGTACACTGTTTATGTAGCGCAAGTGCACGAACCATTCCCCGGTCCTGAACCATTCATGCTAAACGGGTAACTGCATTCAGCCGTCACAACGCTACCCTTGCTTACATCACGGTTGTTGATATTCAGTTCCTTGCGGATGGCGGCTGCCTGCTCGGACGAGGGCTCCAGGCCGCACGCCATGGCCTCCAGAGACACGATAATGGCCTTGCGCAGGCCTTGGGCAATGTTGGCGTCGACCTGCGACACAAAGCGTAGCCAGTCGGGACTCGACGGCGTGGTGCCGATTATCTGCACAGAATGAATAGCACACAGGCAATGGGAGGTACGCATCTAAGATGGCCGTCACCTTTTTGTGGGGCATGTTAACCCATACTTGGCAGGTACAACCCGTTATAGTACATTAAGGTCATACTCATAAATTTTATGAGTATGAGCTCACAAAGTTCATGATCTGTTATGCAGAGTTGGTATGACAGTGTGTACGGTTGTAGTGGACTTGCCATGCAAAACATAACGGCGGGAAATTGATGCATACGTCCCATTGTGTATTATGGCATCACACGCCAGTGCCAGGCCGGAAAGCACTCGCCTGGACAGCACTCGGGCAGGAGGCACTAGGCCGTGTGC